GGCAGAGATTTTCCACAATGAACGCCGAGCAGCTCACTCACTACCTCGCTGATGCGCCCCCGAGCGTGGTCAGACTCGAGATCGAGAAGCACTTTGAGCCCCTCACCGACAAACAGAAGCGTTATGCCCATTTCATCAGCAAGTAAGGATACCACCCAAATCTCGTGCGACATGCAACCCATCTGGGCCGATGTGTGCCAAGCTTTTCATGGGGGTCGGGTTCCGGGAAACTAAAGTGACATCCCAGAGCCTCATTCGCCGGCACCCGCATCGTGCTCAGACAGATCTCCCCGGAGTCGGAGCCCATCTACAACTACATCATTGCCCTCCACAAGGCCAGCGGCGGTGACTGGAACTCCCTCGCAAAGAAGGCTGGTGTCGATGAAACCCAATTGACCCACTTCCTCGAGTATGCCGCTCAGTTCCTCGGAAACAATGGCAACTACAAGAGCTTCGGCGACTCCAAGTTCATCCCCAGAGCTGATGAGAAGACCTTCGCCGCTCTCGCTTCCACCTCTCCCGAGGCGGAGAAGTTCTACAAGGCTACCAACGGTGGCATCTTCAGCGCCGAGAAGCCCGGTCTGATGCATCTCGGCTTCCCGGACAAGGGCCACCTGACAACCTACTACCCCGATTCTCCCGACATCACCCAGGCTGGGATTGAGGCTGTATCTGGCTGGATGGAGAAGAAGGGTCTCCTGCCCGAAAACACCAGGCTCCGCAAGACGAAGGAGGGCAACTTTGAGATGCTCATTGCGTCCGCTGTCACTAGCGTTCCCGAGGAGGGAGGTGACATTGGAAAGGAGACTGAGTTCAAGATTGAGGATGGCCCTCTCAAGGGCAAGACGATCAAGCTGGTCTACGGCGACTACGCCGAGGAGATGAAGGCTGCTGCCGAGTACATCGCGAAGGCAGGCGAGAACGCCGACAACGAGACCCAGGCTAAGATGCATGCGGCCTACGCCAAGTCGTTCACCACGGGATCTCTGGAGGCCTTCAAGGACAGCCAGAGATATTGGATCAAAGACAAGGGACCGATGGTCGAGGCCGATCTTGGTTTCGTCGAGACCTACAGAGACCCGGCTGGTATCCGTGGTGAGTGGGAGGGTTTCGCCTCCGTCGTCAACATGGAGCGCACCCGCGCCTTTGGCGGCCTCGTCTCAGCGGCTCCTAAGCTGATTCCTATTCTCCCTTGGGATAAGGAGTTCGAAAAGGACACCTTTTTGGCGCCGGACTTTACTTCTCTGGAGGTTCTGACGTTCGCTGGATCGGGCATTCCTGCTGGAATCAACATTCCCAACTACGATGACATCAGGCAGAACGAAGGATTCAAGAACGTCTCTCTCGGAAACGTCCTCAGCGCCAAGGCACCCAACGAGAAGATTCCTTTCATCTCCGATGCCGATCTGGAGCTGTATCAGAAGTACAGGGATCCTGCCTTCGAGGTGCAGGTCGGCCTCCACGAGTTGACGGGCCACGGCTGCGGTAAGCTGCTGCAGGAGACTTCTCCCGGAACCTACAACTTTGATGAGAAGAACCCGCCCGTCAGCCCCTTGACCAAAAAGCCTGTCACCACGTGGTACAAGCCCGGCCAGACCTGGGGCTCAGTGTTCGGTAGCATTGCTGCCTCATACGAGGAGTGCCGTGCTGAGCTGGTGGCCATGTATCTTGGATGTGAATTCCCCGTGCTGCAGATCTTCGGCTTCGGCGATGGCACCACTGACATCAACAACGAGGCCGGCAACGTCCTGTACGCCGCCTACCTGCAAATGGCCCGCGCTGGTCTGGTCTCTCTTGAGATGTGGGATCCCACGAGCCAGAAGTGGGGACAGGCTCACTCTCAGGCCCGCTTCTCGATCCTTCAGGTCAGTATTCCCATCACCTTCAACTAGGATCATTCACTGATGTAACGCAGTGCTTCCTGCAAGCCGGTGACGACTTCTGCAAGCTCGAGTACAAGAACGATGATCTGTCCGACCTGGAAATCAAGCTCGACCGCTCCAAGATCCTGACGACTGGTCGTGAGGGTAAGTTCACTGCTACAACTGTCCAATGACGTGTGTGCTAACAACAGACAGCCGTCGGAAAGTACCTCCAGAAGCTTCACGTCTACAAGTCCACTGCCGACGTTGAGAACGGTATCGCCTTCTACAAGGAGATGACCAACGTCGAGAAGGAATTCTGGGGCACCAAGGTCCGCAACATCGTTCTCAAGAATAAGCAGCCCCGCAAGGTCTTCGTCCAGGCGAACACGTATCTCGACGAGGCCACCGGCAAGGTTAGCATCAAGCACTACGAGGCGTCGCCGGCCGGCTTGATCCAGAGCTGGGTCGACCGCGACTTGTGACTCCCCTCTTCATCGGAGCCGAGAACGATGGCGGCGGCGACAGCCAAGTTGTGAGGGGCGTCTCGGCCAGGCAGACTTCACGACGAGGAAAAGGGGCATGACATGACGATGTAATTTTAAAAAACCAAACAACCTGTAATACCAATGCCTCCGAGCAGGGGTTTTTGAGAACACTGAAACGAGAGCCTAACGGATGGTAATCTTATCTACCATGTACACACGCACACTCTGGAGATTCAAGAGGAGAAAGAACCGCGGAAGGCATCATGTTGCGAACGGGTGTCCATTTAGTCTCTGCGAATCATCATTTGTCTCATAAAATCACAAGCCCATTCTGTTTCTCGCCAAGTGACTTTTTTTGCTCTGCGTTTCTTCCGGTTGGGTTTCTTCTCCCCTTCGGTTGTGTGTGTGGACCAAGATTTTTATCTTTCTTTGTGTTGGATTTGAAGAACCTCATTACAGACGCCAAATGTGACCGATGCCGTCGACTTCCAAATGCAATTGGCAAAACCAGCCCAGCCCGTAGCCATAAGTTCTTCGTCGTCTACAACAACACAGTATCAACCCGAATTGATTTTTTCCCCCAACCGAAAAGGTGTAGTTGTTTTGATTTCGCCCCGCCGCCGCGCAGCGCAGAAATACAGAACATCATATCCCCCCGCACGTTGTTTTCCCCGACAAACTCCGGTCATGTAAGGAACCGTTTACCAGGTCATCTCGTGGGGCTTGTCACCCTTGCGCAGGCTGAAGGAGCTCGCCAGGTAGGAAGGCAGGAACTCGACCTTCTTGATGCTGGCGATCAGGGCCTTGTCGACGGCCTTCTGGTCAGCCGCACGGCTGCTGTTGACCTCCTTCTTCTGTAGACACATTCCAGTCAGTATTCTGCTTTCCTTGCCATCACATATGCAACGTTATGTTCGCATATGTCGTCCGAAAACGTACCTGGGGCTTCTCTCCCTGCTTGAAGAAAGCCTCCTCGCCAGCTTTCTGCTTGGTCTTGTCGGCGGTGAAGTACTTGGGTTGCGCGATCTCCTCAATCTTCTTCTCGTCGAGGCCGGAGACATCGACCTTGTAGGATGTGGCGATGACGTAGCGGGAGTTGACGCGGCGGAGGGGGACGCCGTTGATCTTGAAGGGGCCGGTGACGAGGAGAACACCCTGCTCGAGGGTCTTCAGGAGGACGACGCGCTTGCCGCGGAAGCGACCGGCGAGGAGGATCAGGACAGTGCCGGGCTGGAGGGTCTTGCGGGGAGTCCAGGGGCGGACGGCCTTGCGGACCTATGGTGACATTCTCGTCAGTAATCATATTCGCTCGGTGGTGGTTGTGTGATTCATGAATGTGTCATTCCCAGGTCACGAGCGGTTGTTCCTCCTCTTAATGTCTTGCGGCTGTTGCTTTCGTTCATCGAGTTGTGTGCACTTGTCGTTTTGTGTGTTGATTGCTTCTTCTCGGTGACTCGCGGGATATGGTGGCTCCTTGCGTTGGCGATTTTAAAGATTGTCGATGTGCGCGCTTCCAGATTGTGGATTCCCATTTGTCCCCAAGACCTTTTTTTTGTGTCTTCTCTTGCTCGTGACCCGGTGTGTTCTCGATCCTCCGCACAGCCAACAACCAAGTCGACAACCCGCTCAAAAAAATCGCAAGGACGCTCGCTGTGTGCAGAAACTCACCTTCTTGGCCTCGGGCTCATCGTCGGCGTTGTACCACTTCTGCGCCTTCTGGGATGCGGCGGGGACGACCCGAGTGGACGAGCCGAACTTCTTGGTCGTGGATTCCGTCTTCGCCGACATGATTGCTTTCGGTCCTCGTTGAGGCGGCTGCTGGTGGTTAGCGGGAATAGGGAAACGAAAAAGAAGTTAAAGGTGGTTGTTCGCGTTCGGAGGAAGCGAGGGCTCAGATACGTCGAAATGGAAATGTGTGGTTGTGGGTTTACTCGAAAACCCTCACTGGACTAAGCCTGTTTTGGCTGGCAGAAACTTCGCGCGGAAGCGGTAAGGGCGGTCAGGCAGGGTACCCCACCTCAGTGGACTGCCAGGCGTGTACCGCCACCGGGGGCTGGTGCACGCCTGCCAAAAAGACGAAAAAAAAAAACACGCCGGGAGAACATCGGGCCTTGCCTTCGGCTGTCCGGACCTTCAGGGCTGCAGTCACTGGACACCGAGCCCACGCCCGCCACTCAGTGCACTCAGTCGTTGTTGGCTGCGGCGGCCTGGACCCGTTTGCAAGGCATGGCGGTGGGCCACGTGGTGATAAGATAAAGCTGTGTACTAGCACCCCTGGCCTCGCCGAAGCTGCGAGAATGTGCCTGTGAAGTCTGCCTTCTTCGAGAGGTGACATCACGAAAGCATTGGATTTGGAGTATTTAGAGTTGCGTTTTCCTTCTTCCTACCGGCCTGTATGGCTTCTTGACTTCTTTTTGACCGTTTTGCTATTTTCCGGAGGATTTCAGCTACAATGCTTAGAAAACAACTCACCTCATCAGCCAGACGTCTTGCTGGTTCAGCAACCCCAAGACCAGCAAGACTGTTCACAAGAGCACTTCCAATTCTCAACGAAAGTGCCCTCAGAAGCGCCAGAGTCTTACCAACGGTAGCCATTCGCACATATGCCAATGGCAGACCTCACCCACCAGGTGGCACCCACACCAAGAACATGGGTGGCGAGCCTGAGAAGCCTGCACTTGAGCAATACGGCATCGACCTCACTGCGAAGGCCAAGGAGGGAAAGTTAGACCCTGTTATTGGCCGTGATTCCGAGATCCAAAGAACAATTCAGATTCTGTCACGGAGGACGAAGAACAACCCTGTCGTGATCGGAAAGGCCGGTACCGGAAAGACGGCCATCCTCGAGGGCCTCGCGCTGAGAATTGTGCGAGGTGACGTTCCCGAGAGTATCAAAAACAAGCGTGTTATCGCCCTCGACCTTGGCTCACTCATTGCTGGTGCCAAGTTCAGGGGCGACTTCGAGGAGAGACTGAAGAAGGTCTTGACCGAAGTCCAGCAATCCGAGGGCGAAGTCATCCTCTTCATCGATGAGCTGCACACCCTGCTTGGCCTCGGCAAGGCCGAAGGTTCCATCGATGCGAGCAATTTGCTGAAGCCAGCGCTTGCTCGAGGCGAGCTTCAGTGCTGCGGTGCCACCACACTGGAGGAGTATCGCCTGATCGAGAAGGACGTCGCTCTTGCACGAAGATTCCAACCCATCATCGTCAACGAACCCACCGTCCAAGACACCATTAGTATTCTCCGCGGTATCAAGGACAAGTATGAGGTCCACCATGGTGTGCGCATCACCGACGGTGCCCTCGTCGCCGCCGCTACCTACTCAAATCGCTACATCACCGACCGCTTCCTGCCAGACAAGGCCATTGACCTGATGGATGAAGCTGCCAGTCACCTAAAGCTCCAGCACGAGTCCAAGCCCGAAGACATCATGGCTCTCGACCAAAAGATAATGACCATCCAAATCGAGCTTGAAAGTCTACGGAAAGAAAAGGATGTAGCCAGCCAAGAGCGCCGCGAGAAGCTGCAGGCCGACCTGAAGAAGTACGAAGAAGAGATCGCCGAGCTTACCAAGCGCTGGGACGCCGAGCGTGCCGAGATTGAAGGCGTCAAGAAGACCCAAGAAAATCTCGACAAGGCCAGGATCGAGCTCGACCAGGCCCAGAGAGAGGGCAACTTCGGGCGTGCTTCAGAGTTGAGATACAGCGTGATTCCATCTCTCGAGGCCAAGATCCCCAAGGAGGGCGAGAAGCAGAACGGAACTCTCATCCACGACGCGGTCACAGCCGACGACATTGCCGCGGTCGTGTCGAGGGTCACCGGAATCCCCGTCTCGAAGCTCACCTCTGGCCACATTGAGAAGTTGGTTCACATGGAGGACAGTCTCCGCCAGGCAGTCCGCGGTCAGGACGAAGCCATCAAGGCCGTCTCCAACGCCGTCCGCCTCCAGCGCGCTGGCCTCAGCGGAGAGAACAGGCCGACGGCCTCATTCTTCTTCCTGGGCCCGACCGGTGTGGGTAAGACGGAGCTCTGCAAGAAGCTCGCAGGCTTCCTCTTCTCTACTGAGTCTGCCGTTGTCCGCTTCGACATGAGCGAGTTCCAAGAGAAGCACACCATCTCCCGCCTCATCGGCGCGCCGTCTGGATATGTCGGCTACGAGGACGCTGGCCAGCTTACCGAAGCTGTCCGCCGTAAGCCCTACGCTGTCCTCCTCTTTGACGAGTTCGAGAAGGCGCATCGCGACATTTCCGCGCTCCTCCTCCAGGTTCTCGACGAGGGCTACCTCACCGACGCCCAGGGCCACAAGGTCGACTTCCGCAACACGATTATCGTCCTCACATCCAACCTCGGCGCAGACATCCTCGTGGGCGCGAACCCGCACCACCCGTACAAGGAGACGGCCGACGGCGAGATCGACCCTGATGTCCGCAAGGCTGTCATGGACGTCGTCGCCGCAAACTACCCGCCCGAGTTCCTCAACCGCATCGACTCCTTCATCGTCTTTAAGCGGCTGGCCCTCAACGCCATCCGCGACATCGTAGACATCCGCCTGAAGGAGCTGCAGGTCCGCCTTGATGACAAGCGCATCATCCTTGACGTCCCCAACGACGTCCGCGACTGGCTCGCCGAGCGCGGCTACGACCCCAAGTTCGGAGCCCGCCCGCTCAACCGTCTCATCACCAACGAAATCGGCAACGGACTCGCTGACAAGATCATCCGGGGCGAGCTGCGGCACGGCGAGACGGCTGTCGTCTCGGTCAAGCAGGACGGTTCTGGCCTTGAGGTCGCGGCGCAGAACAAGGATTAAGCAAGCATGTATTTCTCACGACTTATGAACTATTCTTTGTAATTGGGGAATTTTCCCTCTTCAGGTGTCAGGAGTAATTTGGGGAATGGATGGAATTCCCCTCTCACGATTTGTACTACAAAATGCATCTGCATCACCACTTTAGAACACATATGTCTGTACCTTAGACTGTACTTACACTGTTGAACATGAATAAGGATCAAACACACGTACACCATCTGATAATGGTCGTGCGCTTATACCCACCTTTGGTGTTTAGACATTTGTCCTCTTCGAACCTTCTGCCATCATCCCTGTGACGTAGGGTACCCACAACACAGTTGCGTTTATGGGAGTACATCCAGTGTCGAGAAGGCCCTAGTCGTAATGTATGTACACTTTCGGTAGATCTAGATCGGTTTGTGAGCCGCTAAAAGACGTCAATTGGTCGTCACCGGGCATATAGGATGAATCACGTCGTTCAGGGCAGCATATTTGGAAAGCGAATACAAGTCTATAACGATTTTGTCCCAACTCTGGCTTAAACTACCTAAACCCCTCCAAGCCCAACAACAAACAACAGGACCGGAAGACATATAACAGGCAAAATAACCCCTGAAAGGAAATCGACCAGTCGTGAAGAACCTTGTTAAGCCGTCGTATCGTAAAAACCCCCTTTCTCCCCATACCGAGAATGGCTTGGAGAACCAGTCAACACCGGAAAAGATATAAAAAGCCAACACCCATTTCATGAGATTCGCATCGAAAAAAAGGCGAGAAAGCCAGGGTTCATGGTATGGCTTCTCCGTTGCATTTGGTCGGAGAACCCGTATAGAGTTGCTGCGTGTGCGTGTGTGGACTGTACAGATTTCCCAACCCAAGACGCCCCCTTTCTTCCAAAACGAAACTTGTCCTTTTGAGACCAGAATGTGTGCTTGCTGCGTCGAGAGAATGCCATTGTAGCGTGGCTCACGAGATGTCAGGGAGGACCACCACGGAAAAGGGGAGGGGGGAATGGATGGACGGAGGGAGAAAATGCGGTAAATGAGTTATGGACTATTCGATTGCCTTGTGACCGGTAGCTGCTCTGCGAATTACAACCGTACCAGAGGGATGACGTGAGAGAGTAGCAGAAGAGAGGGAGTCTGTCCGGCTTCTCTTCGCGTCTTTTACTGGTGGCCCGCCTTGCGCAGGGTGGTGGCAAGCCACTCAAGACCCTCGTAGAGACCATCACCGGAGGTAGCGCAGGTAGACTGGATGTACTATTGGGGAGGTCAGCGTGGCTGTCGTCGCGGTAAGGCGCGGAAAGGATACATACCCAGGCGCGTTGTCTCAAGCTGTGGAGGCCAAGCTTGTCTGTGATCTCGGCAGCGTTCATGGCGTTCTATAGCAGAGCAGGTCAGCCACATGCCCCAATGTGAATTAGGCTGGGACGGGGGAAATAAGAACGTACGGGCAAATCCTGCTTGTTGGCGAAGACCAAGAGAATGGCATCGCGCAGCTCATCCTCGTTGAGCATGCGCTGAAGCTCCTCGCGGGCCTCAACGATACGGTCGCGATCGTTGCTGTCGACGACGAAGATGATACCCTGGGTGTTCTGGAAGTAATGTCTCCAGAGAGGACGGATCTTGTCCTGACCACCGACGTCCCACACGGTGAACTGAATGTTCTTGTACTCGACGGTCTCGACGTTGAAGCCTAGATGGAATTCGCGTCAGCGGGAATTCTGAGAGATGTTTCCATTGAAGCATTGGGTTGGGGCTAGCGACGGCGGGCGGGGGCGCCACTTTCGTTGATGACACGGGGCAGGGCGACGGGACGATTGAGGGGGCAATTGTTGGGCATGCGTACCGATGGTGGGAATAGTCGTGACAATTTCACCGAGCTTGAGCTTGTAGAGAATCGTAGTCTTTCCGGCGGCGTCAAGACCGACCATCAGAATTCTCATCTCCTTCTTCCCCCAGAGCTTGTCGAAGATCTTAGAAAACGCGAGACCCATGGTTGCGATTCGGACTGTGGTGTATGTCTAAGTGTCGGGTTTGGGTTGAGAGGAAGAAGTAATCTGTTGAGAAGAAGTAAGTGTAAGCGCAATGATCCAGAGCGTCGAGAGAGCAAGCAATTAATTAAACAGTGGTGACGTCGAGAAAGGCGGGTGCGGGTGCGGGCGGCATATAAGGGTAGGGAAAAAAAGATGTGCCTCCCGAAAGAGGACAGATCTTTTTCGGAGACGGGATCGGGTCACTGACGACAGTGTGCCTGATGGCGCTGCTGACACGGGCAAAGGGTGAAGGCGGATGGGATGGATGGCGAGGTCCAAGTTTCGATGTTGAAGTTCAGGCTGCCGCAATTCGCAAATGGAGGAGATAGCGGGATAGGAAGAAGTGGATGTAGACGACAGGCGACGTGGAGGGAGGGATAGGGATATTGGGTTGGGGGGCCGTAGGGTGGGCTGCTCTCACTCAAGGCGGCGTAGGCCTATGGTGGTGTATTCCTGAGGTGTCGTGTCCAGACCAGACCGATGCAGGCACGCAACGCACGCGCGCAAGAGCAACTTTGGCCGAGGGGGTGGTAAAGGGGAATGGGAAACCGAGAGACGAAGAAACGAGACGATGCCGCCACCAACACTTGCAGAGGCGAAGCTCGCAGCAGACGACCAGGTCCAGTACAGACAACGGACGCAGATGGATAAAAATTAGGAAATGGAAACCACTCACTCACTTCTTCGCGACGGGCTCCTCGACGACGGCGACAGGATGCTTCTTCGATGGGGGTGCGGTTGTGATTGTCGGTGAAGGGGGGAGACAGTCAAGTGTCGAGAGGTTAAGGTGGAATAGAGGGGTGGCCTTTGGTAAGATAAGTTCGGCTCGGCGAGGTTGGTGGTGATTTGGGGGACCAGAAAGGCCATGTTTTTCAAACTCTGAGTCTCCACTCTTGACCACCGCTACGAACGGACGCCACTACTCACTGGACCGCCAAGGTGTACCTCTGGCAGCTAAGGGGGCGCTGAAGGTACCTGTCACGCCTGCTTACCTCGCCTTCCTTGCGTGCTTGCTTTTGCTGAAGCCCAACCACGGGCCACTCAAAACCACTCAAACATGTCCCCTTTCCATCCCTTCCAGCGCTCTTCGACCACTAGAGACCCTTCTGAAGCACCGAGTACCCGCATCACGTGGGACCCGCGCTAGCCCCTTTCGGGGTCAGCCTCAATCCAACCAAACTTCGCCAAAGTGTCCAGACTCCTGTGACAGGGATCACCTCCAAGAACCGATCTGGAGAACAGCCTGGACACAACCAACGTCGCTCCTTTTTCCCCCCGTGGCCCTGCTTGCCTGCCTGCCCGCCTCTGCCTCACGACTACGGAATAGCTCGTGACTCTGCTGCCGTAGCAGTCTGACGTCTTCCTGCCACCGAAACTATTGAGCTTCTCGCACCCCCCTAGCTCGAGCAAAGCTCCCGTCGTCATGATCTTCCCTTCGGTCGCCAAGCTGCTCCTCGCAGCTGGCTTCGTCCACTCGGCTCTCGCCCACAACATCCAGCTGCCCGCCCACGGCCGCGAGTGCTTCCACGAGTCGCTGCACCGCGATGACAAGATGACCGTCACCTTCCAGGTCGGCGACCGCGAGTTTGGCAGCGCTGGCAACCTCGATATTGACTTTTGGGTATGAGGAATCACAACGTCGCATATGGGTCTTGAAAACCGCGGTTCTACGCGCCCAATGGCTCCATTGGTGGGATTGGGACATCAAGAGCTAACTCTGTGGCTTGGTAGATCACGAACCCCATGGGCCAGTACGAGACCTTCGACAAGAGTGTCTCCAACGGCGACTTCTCCTTCGACGCGAAGCACGACGGCAAGTACACCTACTGCTTCGGCAACGAGCACTGGGGTGCCCACAGCAAGGAGGTGTCCTTCAACGTCCACGGTATTGTCTACGTCAGCGAGACCGATGTTCCTGCCGACCCCCTTGAGGTCGAAGGTAAGATGAGAAAGCCTTGAACATACTCCATGGGCCAACCGGTCTAATAAGATATCCTCCAGTCAAAAAACTCTCCGAACTGCTTGCTCAGGTCAAGGACGAACAATCCTACATTGTTATCCGTGAGCGCACCCACCGCAACACCGCCGAGAGCACCAACAGCAGAGTCAAGTGGTGGAACCTGTTCGTCATTGGCCTCGTTGTGGGAGAGTCCGTCTTCCAGGTGTGGTGGCTGCGTAGATTCTTCGAGGTCAAGAGAGTTGTGTAAGCTTGCGCAAGTTGTTATCGTTTGCGGGATACCCGTGCTGGGACGACTGGTTGGCGTATAAAAGGCGGTCCTCTGCGGGTTACAAGACAACAGGCTTAAAGCTTGGTCTTGACTCTAGAGACCTGAAATGCATGTACAGTGTATCATAATCACACATGAATGGACGAAAGACGAATGGTTCTGAACATACCCATTTTCCATATACGTTAACCTCGACTGAGATGGTTGTGCAAACTCTCGCTTAGGGAATGGCGCGACAGGAACTATGACAGGCTCGTTGGGTGCGAGAACCACTTGATGGGGAACCAGGAGAAGCCAGAAAAGCCGTGAACGACATACATCGAGGGGTTTCCTCAGCCAACCTGGTACGAGAAGACACGTTGGACAAATGCAGCGAGAGGATATTGCGGCATTAGCCTTGAATGACATGGTGGAAACTGGTCATCATGTTCACGAAAGGATTCCGGTTTTCGTCAGACGGGATGACACTTCTCAGTGTCAGTGCGCCTTCTTAATGCCACCTGTAGTTCAGGCCCAGCCAGCCCGTTGCTGGAACGGCACTAGACAGCAAGGCTTAGATCGTGTCCGAGCCAAGGAATGTCAAATGTCTTAACGGCCGCCTCTCCCAAGACTTCTGCCACCTGTCAGAACGAAGACTGAATTCCAGCTGCCTGGGCATAGCTCCAACGGCGCAGCCCACCAACGTCTTCCAAAGAGGCATCTGATCACAAGACAAGGTAGGTGTCAGTCAGTTTGTCAGGACAGATTTTGCAAAACGCTGCATCGTTTGAAAGCTTGAATTGTAATTTGTTGTTGGTCATCGCTGTGGCCATGTATGACTCCCTCTAACCTGACAGTCATTATGTACATCATCCATCATGTATACGGCCAATGCATTATGCCTTTCCTACAATCGACACCAATTCGTATCGTGTGGCCTTGAAAAGAATCCAACAAGCCAACCCCAAGACGCCATACCATCTAAAAACAACCAAAAGGTGGCCTTTATAGTAAAATGAAAACAAAAACATCATCCGTCATGTAGCCAAAGAGGGCCCGCTAATTCATGCATTGGGATCAGACTCAGGAACGGCATTCTCCTTGTCTTCCTCGGGTATCGCCTCCACAGGCAACTCAACACCCTTGACGGGGTGGATGAGCATTGGCGGCAGGCACATGCGGCCCTCGCCGCCGCGCATTTGGCCGACGCTCGAGCCATCCTTGGTGGTGTCCTCGGTCTTCTCGAACTCTTCGCCACCGTCGTTGTTTACCCTGAGGCCAAGCCATCTGCGGTACAAGTTTGGGGCGAAACCAGAGTTGTAGAACCAAGACAGACCACGCAAGTTGTGCTCGCGCTGGCCAAACACAGCGGTGCGAGAACCACCGCTAGCGCCGTTCTTGCCACCGTTGAGGACCTGGGCCATGTACTCTGTGGGCCACTCCCTGTCGACATACATGGGGTGAGGTGCGAAGACGGCCTTGTATCCGTGGTGGAAGGCGACCGTGGCAGGCCACATCTCAGGGAATGCGAAGTGCTTCTTGAAAGCCGTCTCGCGGTGCATCGTCATCAAGAGGCGACGAGACATGCGTGACGCGGTGATGATGTGCGCTCTTCTCGGAGGCATACGCTCGTTGCGGTTGTTCTTGTTGTATCCGGTAATGTCCTCTGACAGGAGCCAAGTGGTGCCTTCAGGATCGAAAATGGGGTTGAAGGAGATCAGATCAGCCTCCTCGCCGACTCCCCACTTGTACTTGTCCTTCTCGTAGCTGGTAGGAGGCTTGGGGTCCTTCTCGATCTCAAACCAATCCTCCTCATTCAGAGGTCGCTCCGGACCCCAGATGGTCTTCTCTGCGCGGGAAACTTGGGTGGGATCCTTGCCGTCCTTGCTCTTTGCGCCTGGCATGTTCTTCCACATGTTGTCGGCTCCGTCAGTGCCCATCTCAGATTGAACGCGAGCCATCTGCCTAAAGTCCTCCCATGAGCCGTGAACACTTGGGAGGTAGAAACGGGAGTTGCGTTCCCAGAGGCCCTTTCTAGGCTGCTCCTTGGCCCAGTCCTCCATCTTGCTGAAGAGATCGTAGTAGTGTCCAGTGTAGCGGATGTCCATCTCCCAGGACCAGTAGTAGTCGTATTCGGGGTGCTGGTGGGCAAAATACTGCATGGCCATCGAAAGACCGCGGTAAACACCATGAACGGGCAGGTCGGGACCACGGGTGAACAGGTCAAAGAGACCCTGGTAGAGGGACAGCATCTGTGTTTCGGTCCACAGCGTGACAAGACCTCTGAACTCTTCGGGAATGCGTTCCCTAATACGGCGCTCATAAACCTCATGGTCGGCGAAGACGGGGTGGGCGGCGTCGTTCTTGATCTGAACGAGAAGGTGGATGTCGTAGCGTCCGCCAGAGGCCAGGGCCAACTCGGAGATGACAGATCGAACGTTCATGATGTCGTCCTCGCGCCAGTTGTACTCGTCCCAAACACGGATCACGACCGCAGTGCGAGCGCCCTTCTCATCGTCCTTCTTTGGTTCTTCGCTGGCAGGCTTGCTCTCGCTCTTCTCCTCAGGCTTGCCATCTTGGACGGGCTTCGCGGTGGGCTCCAAGTTGTCCAGCGGATCGCGGGCGACCAGGGTAGCATTCTGAACAGGCTCGTCGATGTAGAAACCACGCGCCATCGGGACCTTGGGCGGCATGGCCTTGAATCTTTGCGAATTGGACTGGTAGCAGCGTTGTTGAGCATCAGCCCAGTTGACTTTGCGCCAATCCACCTTGGCAGCCTGTTCCCAGACGGCCTCAGAGCCCTCCTTCTCGCCATGTTCACCGACGCCAAGACCACCGGCGGGGACGGAGTATCCGAAGCCATAAGGACCGTAGCGTCCAAAGCGCTCGTAGCAGATGTTCTCAGGAAGGTTCAGGAGCTCGTAGGATCCCTCGACGTGCTGGGGGAATCCTTGGGGTCGGCCGTCGAAGTAGCGAATCGGCGGCACACGAACCTTGTTCTCCTTGTCGACGAAGCACTCGGTAATCTTCTCGGGCTTGGTGTTGAAAATGGAGTCGGGATGGTCGAGGAACATCTTGCTCTTGGGCACCGATCGCCTCACAGCGTCATCGATGCCATCTTCGCTGGTAGCAGTCGCCGTGGTGTTGATGTCGAGCTGGTCCAGGGGAGTCTCATCCTCGGACCGAGGGTAGGAGGGAATATAGTTCGTTGGGGGAACGACTGATCTGATACCGCCGTAGTATCTTTGGAGGAAGCCGAAGGATTCCCATACGGGGGGAGGGTCCGGTTTCTTCTCCACCTTGCCCTCCGAAATCATCTTGTTCTCAACATGACTGGCGCGCGCCAGTGACATGATCATGACCAGCATAAAGGTGAGCAGACCAAAGCAGAGATATCTGATGATGCGGTTGGGCAACCTGTACATGTGGGTTCGCGGTCGGCGGGCGGTAGCGAGCGCTCGTTTCGGCAACATTAAGGCGGCGCTGGAGAGGGAAGAAGAGGTGTTTCTTGAGCTCCTCGCACTCGGTGAGGATGTCGACGTGGTAGAGTAGCCGTCCGTGTCTTCGTCGGAGTAGTAGTCGTCGTCGTCATTGGAGAGACGCTCCTTGGTTCGCAACGGACTCAGTTGCTCGTACTTGGGTAATCTGGCCCTGCGGTTCTCGCGAGACCGCAGAGGGTTTGAGAAGAGACCCATGGTGGCTGGTTACCGATGGGTTCGAGTCTGGAGGCTCTGGTGTTAGTCGCCAGAGGAGAGCAGACGAGCGCGAGCAGTTCTTACGACTGAAAACTTCAGGACAAGTCCAGTTCGGTTGTGAAGCCCGTCAGTCGGGCAATTGTCAGATGTTGTTGCTCAGTCGAGTATGACAGAACCCAGCGTCGATGCGTTCGTTTAGGCGTTCGGTAGAGGAGAGTCGACCCAGGGGGGGAGTGTGGGAACTGGACCTGGGGATCGTACGGAGACGGAGACAGACAGCGACAAAAAGGCTGTTTGTAAGTCGAGTCTGTACTGGGTAGGCGTTGGCGAAATAATGTACAGTACGGCAAGCCAAAAAAGAATGGAGATGAGGATTGGAGACGCGATGCTAGGGCATCATATGGAAATGAAGCACAGCAGGGGGAAACGAGAGACGGAGGTCAGTTCGGGCCAGCAAAGTCCACCTCGACTAATATGGATCTCTGGTCAAGGTCAGGTTGGATGGATATGAGCCACCCAGCGACGGCGGGACAACGTGAGAAAAAAAGGCAGGAGAGGAAAATAGTACAAGTACCTACGTCAGGTACGTAACTCCTTTCGTCTGTCGTCTGTCTGTGTGTGGTGGGTGTGTGTTGTGGGTGGTGTGTGTGTTTGCTTGCTTGCTGCTTCTTTTGCTGATGGTGGTGGTGGTGCCAATTGTGCGCCAGTGGGTGTGCCACTGGTTCGGCAGTCCGATGGGCGATTGGCATGGCACACAGTGTGTACACTCGAGTGTGCATGTTCGACTTCCCGGTTCGGTGAGGTGGGGCATGTTTTCCCCTATCCCACGCAATCGCCACTATAAAGAATGGATCTGATTGGGGAATCGATGGGGAGCTCTCGACGATGACTGGCCAACAGGGCAAGTTGCTCTGAGCAACCACCAACGACCAGGCTCGGCGGGCTTGAGACCTGGATGCAAGAGCACCATGCAATGGATGCATGCCGCAGTGCTAGTTTGCATTCTGCCCAGACTGACCGCTCACCACTCCCAGCCAGCACATGTACTCGCCAAACGCTCCAGGGAACTTGAGATGTGCGCGCCAATGCGGGACCAGCAGCGTCCTGCCAGGCCTTGCAGGCGCAGCAGGGGTCGCCGCCTTGGTCTCGACTGCTCGCTGGAGCCACCGACTGGGGTCTCCCTGACAACCATTTAGCGACCTCCGGGACTGCCTGCCCGCTACGGTTCGGCTCCCTGGTTCGCGCCGTTTCCACTTCCCGTCCTCTGGCAAATTCAGGACCGTCAAGCGCGCCTTTCCCTGGCACTGTCCAGGCCAGCCTGCTGAACCAAGCGATTCCTCCGGTCTCCTTTCCGAAGCAGGACGCTGGAGCATGCAGTCCACTTCGTCTTTGGTCAAGACGCCGGCCGGGACCAGCCCGACAGACAAAGCCACACCACGCTGGACGTCCAATACTGCACTGCGTACGGTCCAAGTCGTCGAATGAAGGTCGAATCGTTTCCTGTCTTGTCACGACTCGTCCAACCGTCAAAGAGACTGGACGAAGCTGCAACATGGTCGGACGCGTTCTTCGGTTTCGTCTCAACATCCTTCTATTCTAATGCTCTTGGCCCTTCCATGAGACAGTCTCTCTTGTTGGCCAGAAATGCTAAGCCTCGCAACTACCGGCCACTGAGATATGTGCTAATCGATCCATCCCCGAGACCAATTGCGAGTTCAGTCTGAAATTCCTGATCCATCCATGCACCCCGCAGTCTCCTCCAAAAGTCTCCGTCGCCGACGTCACGGTGCCAAGTTGGAGATTGTGTGGCCGACGATTCCAACGAACAAGATGCCACCGCGACTCAGAACAGAGATTATCCCAATCAAGGCTCATACCGGAGCGCCAATCCATCAGTCCGGACCGTCAATCACAACTCCCGCATGTCGGCCCTTCACTCTCCAAATTCCAGAAAGAACAAATTTAGAACATGTCCGAGATTTCCCACCCGAATATCGATATGCATATCCATTTTTCATCTCCTCATGCGCGTGGCTGAGGCGGCAGAAATCAGGCCTATTCGCAGTGTCGCCCTCCGATGCAACCCCCCTATGTTCATCCCTGATTAACCCTATCACCATACCTTACCTACCAATCTACCCATCTCATTCTCACGAGCTCCTCGCCACCGCGCTTGACTTTTCCGCATTCTTTTCAGCTGCTTGTTGTCCAAGAGGGCAAAGAGAGAGAGACACCACTAGTAAAGACTGCGCCGATAAGATCTTTTTTTACGGGCCTTGACGCGTCCCGTCTCACCAACCACGGCCCGCCTCCGTCAAAAAGCTGTCTCCCGAGCAAAATCTGCTGCAGCCAGCCGAAAGCCACATTCCTCGAGGGCCCATGCTGGCCGCCGTGTTGGTCCTTGGGTACACGTCAACACAGTTCGTATTGAGGCACAACAAATCAATAGGTGGTTTGGCGCTTCTAAAGTTGGGCAAACTTCGTAAGCCACGGTCCCGGAGCGTTCCCCGGTAAAAATAGTCTTTCTTACGGCGGTACGAGTCCAACTTCAAGTTCGCGCTGCGACCGTGACGCAACTCTATCATAAGCTTCTCATACTAGCGAGGATCGGAGAAAACTGGCACTGTGGCAGCCATGTAACCCCAAAAAACACAAAATGCGTTCGCCAGACACGCCAGTGCAGTGCGGCTGCAACTCGAGCTCGCTGAAAGCTGTCAAGTCTTTTGAGACACAAGCCGCAGCGACATCTGCAAAGGCCCGACTCCAAGTGCAGCACCCAAGAGCCGCCTGTGCCAGTGCCAACCTCCCTCAACCAACAACCAGAAACCCAGCCCACTGTTGACTGAAGATCAAACTTATTTGCTCCTGAACATCCCACAAGACGACATCATGATACGGGGTACAGCAGCCTGAAGGGGGATCCCTCGGAAGGAACTTGACCGATCAGCTCCCGTCCAAACACCCAAGTGGCCCCCAAATGCGGGGAGGTAACACGGTGGTAACTGGCCACCATTGAACCCGTCTGCCGTCGTCTTACACAAGACAGTTGGCCTGCTGGGCCCCAACCTCCTGTCTTCTCTTCCTGTCGGAGGATTTCCAGAGCACCCTCCGTCACCAGCCGTCTGGGTAACATTCACCCGATCCGGCGGTGGAACCCCAGCAACCTCAACCCAACGTTATGTAGGAGTTCTCTCCGCTGGGCCCAGCGGCCGTTGACCGTCCTTTCCGGGTGGGGTCTACTGCGCCGGCCGTCTGCTATTTCGCCGGAGCATGTCGCCCGATACCGTCTTCTCGTGATGAGAGGCATCTCTTCAGCAGAAGGGCGTTTGCTCCCACTACTGCTGCCGCCACTCCGCCTTGGACCCTGAAAGACGGTTGAAAAGGCCAATTGGTGAGGGTGTCCTCCTGACCGGTGGTATCCATTATTAGCCCAAGCCTCCTGGGAATCCGGGGTAATCTGTCACGAGGGCTTCAGCAACGAACTTGCATGCTACGGGGTCCCAGGACAGAGGTACTTGCTATGTCCTAGTCTGCTCGCCGAGGCGGGAACTCTGCCCATCTCTCGCCCTCGCACGAGCCCAATAGGTTGCAGGTTGCATGTCCTCAAGGGCTATATGCGGCGCCCAGTTGTGGTTCGAGCTTCCGCCTTCCGGCCCTAGCCACTCACGTTTGACCCTTTTGTCACTTGATCAGCTAGCAGGCCGTCATCCACCACCAAACTTGAGTGTTCCCCCCTCAGCTCCCGAACCCCGCATGCTGTAGACCTGCAACGAAAACGCTGCCGGCCTGAGGAAGTTTGAACCTCGTTTGTCTCGTGGCCACTCGTTTCTGGCTGTGTCAGGTCAGCTTTACCTCATACTGCCTCTGACCGATCTTGGCTCCTTTTCCGCCCTGCTCTCTCTCTTCTCTTTATCCGAAGGTGCCTCCTCCTCCTCGCTTTCCTCTACAACCCCGTCTTATAAGAAATCTATCCGTTCCATCTCTTTCCTGGGGAAACCGCTCGCGTGCTTCATTGCCCCTCAGTCTCGAGCCAGGCGTAGGCCGTGCATATTAGTGCCCATGCGTCTCTCGTAACAAGCACAGCAGCCATGTCTGTCTCCATCACGACCACCACGTCCTCACCCACCCGCCTCCACGAGGACCCTCTCGCCTCTGCGGACGCCTGCGGCGTGGGCCTGGATCTCAACCAGGTTGCCGTCAACTGCGTCCTCAAGCAGCAGCCCATCTCCGTCACCCTCAATGGGCCCGCAATCTTCACCTTATCTATGAGCCTGGCCCTTATCATACACTTTCTCGAGCCCAGGATCGCAGAGTTCCTCATCATCCTCGTGCCCATCCTCCTTCTCGTCCGCAATGACTATCAGAACTTCCTCGGCCTCGGGCCCGGGGGCACGCCGGCCACGTTCCAGGGCTACATTAGAATAGCCTGGCTCCGGTTGTGGGCTCTCCGGGATCCCTTCACCGCACCGGACCCAAAGCCCAACAGCCTCCCCAGGAGGGGCATCCTCATCCGGCAAAATGACGACCAGAGCTTGAGCCGGCTGCCGTACCGCCCTGGGCCGCGTCCGCTGGTCGCCGGGATCGCTCCGCAGCGTCAACTCGACCAACACGGGACAACTTCGCACTACTACGCCCTGAGGCAGACACTTGAGCGTCTCGCGGCCGAGAAGCCGCTCAAATTCGGCACGGCGAGGTCATGTCTCGAAAAGCATGGCCTCGGCCTATTTGCGCGGCATCCAGTCAACGTGACCTGCAACGGGGAGGTGTGTCATGTTCACGACTCAGATCACTCGTTGCACATGAGCCTGCATCCCGAAGACATCCGAGAGGTCCTCGCCAAGGGATGGGGCCAGCGACATCCGCTTGCGTGGAAAGGAAGACTCGTACAGATGCCTGTGCCGGAGGAGTTCATCATGGTATACGCGCCGAGAGGTGAGTGAGATGGAAGACACGAGTTTGAGTTGCTTCTTATCGTCGAAGGGAACGAAAAAGTGTGCTGTTTTAGCTGACATAATTTTTAGACGACCATGAACTGAAGATTGTATGCCGCATTATCGAGGCAGCTATCTGGTACGTCGTCTCCGAGAAGACTGAGATCAAAATCGAGAAGGCCATCTAAGATGGCTTCTCGTTGAAAACGCTCATATATATATAGTATCGTTTCTTTACACCAAAGGGGATACAACTTGGACGAGAAGGCGTTGGATAAAGCACGTAGATTACAAGTACAAGATAAAAGCTTTGGGAATATTGAGATTGATTTTGCCCTGAGGTCCTGAGCTTTGTGATGCTATATCAAAAGGTTCTATCACTGAAAGTCCCCGCCCACGCCCATCACATGCTGGTGTAAAGAAAAGCCCCGTCGTTTCGCCAATAAGAGAGACGTATCTCAGTCACTGTCGCTTGCCTGATCCTTCTTTGATTGCTTGAATTTCTCCCTACCCGTCGACACAGACGCCTCAACCACTCGGCCATCGAAGCTGCGCCCGTTCATAAGCTGTATGCATGCCTGCGCCGACTCTGGTTTGGAGAACTTGACCGACACCACACCATCCGGCTCCTTGTCATAAAGCACCACATTAGTCACAGTACCCAGCTTGGAGCACTCGTCGCGAATATCCTCCTTGATCTCCAGCAACGCAGCTGGGTCCTCCGCCAACTCTTCGAGAGTGAACATGTGCTTCAAGATGACCGTCTTATCCCATTTGGAGTTGGTCTCAGTCGGCATCATAGACGGCTCGTCGTCGCTCCAATCAGCAAGCTTGGCTGCCATCTTCTGCGTCTTGCGAATGATCTTTTGCCTGTCCTTGTCGTTGCGCTCTCTCTTCTGCTGTCCGTTGGACGACCCGCCATTCTCCTTCCCCTCGGCTCCCGCCCCGTCTTCGTATTGTGTCTTCTTGTAACTTGAGTCCGCCGCTTGTACGCGCATCCTCGGCTGTCCCGCCGGGCCATCGAACCGGAAGTCCGTGTCGTCAAGGAGCATGATGGCCATCTCGACGCTCTGCGGCTTGAAGAAGACAACTAGCGCGTCGCCCTTGAAGTTGCCGCTCTCGTCCGTGTACATCTTGATGCGCGGGCGACCACTGTCAATTTCTTCGGCGATGACGCCTGCCTTGCGCGAGAAGAGCTCGTGGACCTCGTCGGCTGTTGCGTCGGTGGGCAGACCGGTCACGTACACGGCCGTGTTCTGGCGCGGCTGCGGCGGCGCGCGCGCAGGTTTCGACTTCTTTGCCGGGCGATTGTTTCCGTTGCCTCCATTTCCGCCTCTGTCGTCCATCCCGCTCGGGGAATCTTTGCGTTTCCTGGAGTTCGCGTTTTGTGCTTCGCTACCTCCTGGGCCGACGCTGGCACTGGCGCTTCTCGAGAGATCTGCGAGCTGTGCGTTGTGGTCGTCGTCGAGAGGCTCGAGAGGTTCGTCAGCTGCCTCAGCCCATGTCGCGGTCGCGGGGTCGAACTCGAGCTCGGTGCCATCGTCGAGGACAGCCAGGTACTTGTTGTCCAGCTTGGAGAAGGAGATGCGCTCGTCGTTGCCGAAGTCGCCAATGGACGTCGGCAGCGGATCCTTTAATTGATCTGCCATGCTGTTATGTAGTCGTAGTGTTGATGGGAGGTGTTCGGCTCAAAAAGGTATTGAAATTAGCCAACGAATGGGCGAAGACTTTGGGTAACGGTTGTTGCCTATGTTTAAGCTTGGTCTGAAATGCAAAGCGCATTCTTGGTGACGTTAGTGGAGCAACGGCAGTGAGCTGCAGGGAACATCAGTGCAGGACTTGGGGTCGTGTGGGGTCATCGGATCTAACGCAAGCTTACCGCGAGGATAAGCTGCGAGCTATCATGTCAACCACCGAGTGCATTGCGCCAGTGAAATCCTCACTTGTTGCAAGGCATGTATGTTCAACAACTGGTAGGTCTCGAACAAGACCTATCTCGTTGGGACGAGTCATCTTACGCTCTCCAGCGATGTATTAGCGTCATCATACGATGATCCCCTAAAAACAAAACGTTCGACAGAATGCATTTCTTCGTTATTCTTGGGTGTGCTCGAGTTCTCTATATTCATCCTCGTCTATCGTAGGATCGCCCCGCCCTTGCATGCCTTCAACCCGTTTCCACTTAGCCTTGCTTCTTCTCCTTGACCGTTGATTTGACTCCCTCCACGAACGCCTCCACAGCTTCACCGCCACCTAGAGGCATGGCACCGCCCCTCATGTAGCCACCGTTGGGGACCTTGACCTTCAGGGCCTCCGCGACAGTTGGCAGGCCACCATCACGAAGAGCCATCGTCAGGCTACCCAGGGCCTGGTGGAATTGAGGACTTCTCAGGACTCTCTCCAGCAAACTCTTCTTCTCCGCCAGGCTCAAGGTGGCCATGGCGGCGGCTGCAGCATCTGCTGAAGGCTCCGAGTCACCCAGGTCGTCATTCTCTGTGGCCAGAACCACAATTGCTGGCGGCAAGAAGCCAAGCAGCGTGTCTATGTAATCCTCTGGGGCCGAGCGGAGCATGGGAATGGTAGTCTCGTTGGGGAGCAGGTGATGCAGGTACGGAAACGGTTTGTCAGCTTGCTCTTGGCCGCGCTGTTGAGATCCGCCCAGGGAAGAATTGCCCTGTAATGAAGCCAAGAAATTGCGAACAGCAGCATCCGCATCGGTGTTACCAGAGCTACCCCCGGCGCTATCAATCAATTAGCCTGAGTTCATATCAACAGATCAAGCCGTGGGCACCACGAAACAATGGCAAACTCCGAACCCTCGTCTCTTTTGAAAGGCTCTAAAAGTACAGATGGCGCCGTTTCGCGGGCCTCACGTCTTTTCCCTGACCGTGCCAAAGCAGTCCGTATGATTCTAGTGACCCTGGACTCCGACCGCAAGAGACATGCATTGGAAGGAAACCTACGCTCGAGCTCCATCACTGCCACCCTCTCTAGCATTCTCGCCCTCTTCACGCACGTCGCCGCCTGTTGCGCCAGCACCAGCACCGCCGCTGGCCGGGTGGTCTCCTTGGCCCTCGGCATCTTCCATTGTCTCGTCATCGTCGTCGTCCCGTCTGTCGTCGGTGTTGCGGACCTGCGCCAGCTCTCGGTTGACGTTCACATCCTCGCCTTGCAGAAGGGCGTTGACGACCTCCCCAATCTTCTTATCACGGGGGCTGAACCAGCTGGGGTCACCAGTGCGGGACTGAGGCTTCGACTGGAGCCAGAAGAAGTGTCGCTGCGAGGAAGAGCCGAACTTAAGCACAAAGACGCGGCCGTTGGTCTTTGCTGTGGGCTGGTCGGAAGGAGTATGGGGGAGGAATTCGCCGTCCATCGGAACCATGACGAGGTCGAGATCGGGAGAGTCCATGGCGGCGCTGCGCTCGCGCCAGCAGAAGTGGATCAGATCTGCCGCTTGTTAGATGCTGGCAATGGCCGTTTTCCCTTGCGATTGACGTACCATCTTCGGAGTAGAGGTAGATGTAACCGGGCGTGGCCTGGGGCTTGACCTTGTAAGGCTTGCTGGAGGTCTACAGTCAAGTCAGCGAACCGGGGTTCCGAAGCGTAGAAGCCGAGTAGGTCACTGACGTCTGCCTCGCAGATACCGGCCTTGAAAGTAATTATAGGCACGATCGACATGTTGTGCCTTCGACTTCGTGGTATGTGAGAAAAAGAAGTGAGGTTGAGGAAGTCGAGGTTGAGATGGGTAGATGGCCGTTTGAGGTGCAGGTGTGGTTGGCGTCACGTTGAGCTCGTTTGGATTGGAGCTCTCTCGAATGCAATTGCGTAGGAGCTCCCTGCCTGCGTGCACCTCTGCCTGCCTCAGGTGGGCTGGCCGCCAATCCCACATGCGCCAGTGGACGGTCCCGATCAGGCACCCCTCCACCTCAGCCTGCAGGGCTCGCTGCGGGCCGTCCTTAGTCCGGCGAGGGGATGGATGGACCTTGAGAGCGGCGCTGGGCAACCAGAAAGTGGGGTCCGTGCAAACCCAGAAGCGCAGAAGCAGAGAGCACCGCACCGCAATCAAAGGGAACAGTCAAAAATTTCCCAAACCCCACCTCGACCTATTTGAACCTGAACCTCTACACTTCCTCACCATCTCCTGCTTCTTCCCTTCCAGATACCCCTTTTCTTCTCTCCAAACCTCTTCAAAACGCAAAAATGGGCTTCGCCGACCTTCTCACTGATGCTGGTGCTGCCAGTAAGTTTCTGCAGCGTTGAATTCTTTCTTTCTTTCATCGACTGACAGTGAGTCAGTGCTGAACAGCTGGCTCACCACCCGCTCCTACATCGTTGGGTATGTTGACACCTTTTTCTCTGATGAATCCCTCTCGAGCTCCTCGATTCCATCCTCCCCAATCCTCGCGGCAATAACATGATGAGAAACATTGGTCCGTGTTTCGGAGGCAGCTTAAGACCCTGCTAAACGACGAAACAACAAGCACTTCGGTGCAACTCTGAACCCCGCATTGCCCACTCACATTTTGATCCTCAGCATCGTTGGGCATGAATCATTGTCGCTGACAATTAGCGCAGCCACTCCCCTTCCCAGGCCGACGTTGCCGTCTACAAGGCTCTGTCCTCTGCCCCCGACGCTGAGAAGTACCCCAACGCCGCCAGATGGTACAAGCACATCTCCACCTACGAGAGCGAGTTCGCCACTCTCCCCGGTGATGCTTCCAAGGCCTACTCCGTCTACGGCCCTGAGGCCTCTGAGCTTCCCGTGAACCCCGCCAAGGCCCCTGCCGCCGATGAGGACGAGGACGACGTCGACCTGTTCGGTTCCGACGACGAGGAGGAGGATGCCGAGGCTGCCCGTATCCGCGAGGAGCGTCTGGCCGAGTACAAGAAGAAGAAGGAGAACAAGCCCAAGACCATCGCCAAGTCCGTTGTCACTATGGATGTCAAGCCTTGGGGTATGTTTGCTCTCTGATCCCATAAGAATGATCTCGAAGACTAACCAAAACCCAGATGACGAGACTGACATGACCGCTCTCGAGGCTTCCGTCCGTGGTATCGAGAAGGATGGTCTGGTTTGGGGTGCCTCCAAGCTTGTCCCCGTCGGTTTCGGTGTCAAGAAGCTCCAGATCAACCTTGTCGTCGAGGATGAGAAGGTTTCTCTGGACGACCTCCAGGAGGAGATTGGCGAGTTCGAGGACTACGTCCAGTCCTCTGACGTTGTTGCCATGCAGAAGCTGTAAAGTGCTTTATGATGGAATGGGAGGGATGATTCACGAGGCATGATGGTGGAGACATGACAATCCATAGAATCCTCAAAAAAAGGTCAACGTGGAATTGCTCAGCACCAGCGCAGGTAACATCCTGTCGCTCAAGAAAGAGTGCGAGCCCAAGACTTTGATGAATACACATGAGGTTACGAAGACCTTTCAAGAAGTAAAACAAAACAATGTTCTCTCCCATTTCGATACGTGTGTCCCATGTGCTTGATGCCCGACTTCACGACAAAACCCCGCACCAGAAGGACCCTGATAGCATTCAGGCCACTGCAAATTTTGAGTCAGACCGGGACCATGAATTTGACGGTGGGTGGGCGGTGAGGTGTAGGTGGGGCACAATCAGCGCTAAGTGAGGGGCAATTTTCTTGCTTTCCCAAAGCGGTCAGACCAACGCAACGCGACCTGACTGGGCGGATGAGGTAGCTCGCGGCGAGTTCCCATTCCCACCTCCATACCGCGATCCAAACGCGACCTTGCCAAGTTAATTCCTCATCCACCACTTCCGCAGGCGTACGAAGCTTGATCTTTGGATCGTGCAAAGAACTCTCGCATAGCAGGCTGCATAATGTACGGTGACTTAGGCAACAAACTGGTGCGCAGACTGTAGCTCTGACCCGCGAATCACCAAAGAGACTAACGCGTTCTTGCAGGTGCAACACGCCAAACGAACGCAGAACCTCGCCCATTTACCGCCCTACCAAGCCGAGATAGTACGAGCCGTGGCACGCGAAGTTAGAGATCTCGATAAGGACGTGTCGGAACTGCTGGAGCCCTTCCAAGGGTCTTTCGACCCAGCCGCAGATCAAGCAACTGCATGCACACTACTTGTAAATCACCTGTCGATACGCAGAAACAAGCGATGTCTACTCGCATATCATCGAACTCGAACAGATAAGCTGGAAGAGTTGGCGTGGAAGGGAGTGGACGTCCTGGATCTTTCCGGGCAGCAAGTGCGCAGCAATGCCGGATCGTCAACCGGAGCCAACGGGGGTGCTGATGGACCAACGAGCAGTCTGAGTCCGCAAGAGGAGGAATACGTGAGACAATACGGCGATCTTCTGGCCGCGTATAAGGGTCAGTGGACTGACATCGATCTGACGGGGAGCTTGGAGCCGCCCCGTGACCTGTTCATCGACGTGAGAGTCTTGAAGGACGCGGGCGAGATACAGACCGAATATGGGTAAGTTGGGGGTTGCCTGAGCCACAACAGAATGACAGTTTTATCTAACACCAGGGACCTAGCGCCATCAACCTGACGAAGAACAGCCAGTTCTACGTGAGGCAAGGAGATGTTGAGCGGCTCATAGCGCAGGGTTATCTCCAGAAGCTCAGCTGATGGCCGAGACTCGGCGTGATAACGCAGCACCAAACTCTGAAGAATTTCAGACTAAAAGAAATGTGTCTTCGCATCTCCTCATATTGGAGATCAGCGGGGTGTGAGGGGTGCAGATGCAAGAACGCCCTGTCCAAACCCTTGCACGGAACATCTAAGTATACATACAACAGGATGCACGCCACGCGGTGCGCCATTCGCGGCGGGATATCGTAATACGCTGCGTCAAGATGATGCAAAAAATCCAACATCTGAGCATGCCTTGTTGGCGTCTCGCGGAATGCGCGGGACACACGCATGCAGTTTCAAGGGGTTTGGGAGAACAGCAGCGGGATTCATGACGGAGGGAGGGCCAAAACGGCCCGGGGATTTGCTCCTGCATCGGATCTGAATGACGGGGACCACCACCAACGACAAAACAAGGCCCGGAGCAGAATGGGGCCAAGATCAGCGCGGATGGCTTCCGGAGCGGCCGACTCAGGAAAAAGTGGCTAACACGGCAACGAGGCAACGGCACGCGGGAGGCTCTGGTGGAGGGCGAGAGCGGGCGCTATGGACGGGCACAAAATCCAGACCAGGCACATGGCACGCAAAATATCTGCGTTGCTAGGCTCTTCAATGGGTCATTGCTTTTTCCTACACAACGAGATTAGCGAATAATCGAGGAGGAATGTCTCGCATGTGGTAGCAGTGATGCACGTTTTGGGCACCTGGGGTTCGACGGGCGCAGCTCGCATAGCTCGGACATGGAGAAATAGGTGCGGTTGCGCGTGGACGATGTCGCGATATCGGCGGCGGATGAGCAGAACCGATAGCGACATCCAACATTCGACGATCGGCCTGCATTGAAACCTCAGACACGTCCATGACTGTAGACGTCTCTTGAGCAGAATCTTTGCGGGCTGTTGTCCGCCAGTCAGCCAGCCCGTCAGCCAACCACCACAGACAACAGCTGTTGGTCGTGGAGCACAGCACGGCACAGGCATGGCAGGGCAGAGGAGGGGGAAACATGGGCTGGCCTGGTGCGCAGCATTGCATCATGCGCTGCATAACGCCGTTGGCTGACCTGCCTAGGTGCCTGGGCCGCCGCCCTCCTGATCCTCAGCCCAGCCCAGCAGAGGAGCCGGAGCCGGAAGCTTGCTGATGACGGGTAATTGGCTTGAGGTGTAGTGTTGGTGTCTGGTGATTTGCCGCCGGACTGAATTTCCTCATCTCGCAAATACATCGGGTCATTGACAGCGACGATGAGGAGCAATCGACCGAAAATCCCCAATTGACAAGCCGTTACCCCACGAGAGACGTGAGGAGATGAAACTTTCAGCATTACATTGTCTGTTCAGACGTGAGCTCGGGCTGGGACAGGGCCGGTACAATGCACGGCGAGGGCGAGTCCACAGGCCGTTACCCATCCGGTGTCCTGTTGCATCTCCACTGTGTGCCGCGGGCAGCAGAGCTCTCTCCAGTCTTGTCAGTCAACTTCCAATGGTGTTGGAGGATTGCAAGTGGTGCCGCAGGGCCTGGCTTCCGGAGAGCGAAAGGCAAAATCCTGGATCCGAAGTGGGCCCCAACGTGAGGTGAAAGGTGACACTGCGCCTGGTGCTGGCTCAGTGTTTGGTGCAGTCTTCCACTGGGACTGACATGCTGCCCACGTTGCCCACTGAGAGTGCCCGCAGCGGCTGTAAGTGGTCATCGACATGGATGCACTGCATGTTTTGGTACGGTTACGTAGTGCGACGCGAGCACGCAGGCTTGGTTCGCACCTCATTCAACTCACTTCCAGCCTGCGGCAACAGAATGGAACTGGCTGCGGTAGATGTTTGGTAGATGAGACCTTCTGGTGGGCTCCTGTGGCCACGGAATGTCCGCTAGAAACTGCGAGGGTGCGCGCTAGGCTTCCCGTGCGGCCCAGATAGGTACGGTACAGAGTACATTGGCCTACAGCGGTACCATGACTGTTACGCCGCAGAAGAGGCGCTAGTGAGGGGCGAAGAGCCACATGCAAAATGCAAATTTGACCTGGTTCAAGGTTCGTCTAAATTCTCTGCAGTGCTTTGCATCGCTGCTGCTGCTACGCAAGTCAAGTGAGCGCAAGTGAGTGTGAGTGTGTGTGTGAGTGAGGTGCGCGCGCGCCATGTTGACGACAGCTTCGACCACCACAGACCAGACTGATGACTGTCGCTCTCGCCGCTCGCTCGCTCGCTCTTCCGCCCATCCGTCCGTCCAGTCCCTTTCCTAGCTTCTCTCTTCCCACGGACACTCTATTCTCTCTTCTCCAATCTGCCCATCTCCGATTCCCCTCTCGTCATCCACCCGCACGTTCCATCAAGCGGGTATTCTTATCTATCTAGCGTTTTGTTTTAGCCTCTGGCACTTCAGCTGCTCCTCAGCATATCGCACCCAGACCAACACCACAGAAAAAACTAGACGGGACATCCTTGTCTCTACTTTGTAGATCCAGTCCCGCCCACAGCCCGTCGTGTAATACACTTCCCCATCTCTTATCAGCGCCGACGCTGCCAACCCTTTTCACGCTCTTCCTTTCTTTGCGCCCACCCTAAGCATCGCGAGCTCGAGCTTCCCAGCTTTTCCCATGAAGTCCAGCTAAAACCTGCAACGACCGACCGCCCAGCCATTGGCCTGGTTCACCGACGATTGGCACCCGTAGACTGGTGCTCCGGCGAACCTACGGCGCCTCCCGTTCCCGCCCTCTACCGCCGCCGAGAACTATAAACCCAGCCAGCCATGTCTTCTCCCAACTTTGGCTTCTCTCCGTGGAGGAGGCGAGCTTCCTCGCTGAGCTCCCAGAGGAACAACGAGACCAACCCCGAGAATCCGCTTCTTAGTCCTGGTCGCAACTCCCAGCTGGCCAGCGCAGACAGACTATCGTCCTCTGTTTCGAGTCACCGAGAGCCTATTCGCTCCTTCATTCACGGCAATTTGAGGGACCACCTAGGCAAGCAACCCTCGACCGGCGCGATCTTCATACCAGACGCCACAGCTAACTCTTGATCGCCAGCTCCCGTGGATAGTGCCCAGTACGCCCGCAGCGTTCGCGAAGATACGGCAGAGCTCGCCTCGTACCTCCTATCGGACAAGAAGACGGGCCAGAGTCCGGCGTTCCTCTCCCGCCAGCGCTCTCAGAACTCCCAACTCGCGCGAGAGACGGCCATTTCAGACAACGAGGAGGACGATGTGGGAAGCGCGCACGTTACCAGCTCCGATACCATTCAGGAGGTTTCTGAGCCGGCATCGCCAGAGGAAGGGGAGGAGGAAATTCCCGAGGACGGCCCCTCAATCCTGACGAGCTTGCTGAAGAGATCACCGCCGCAATCGCACCGCGAACCCTCTCCTGAAGCTCGACCTCACTCCCAGCAGTCCCACTCGGAAGTCGATGAACCGAAGCCGAAGCGATCGCCGTCCAGAGAAAGACCCGAGCGGGAGCCGGAGGTGCAGCGTTCGTACGAGGCTGTTGTGGAGGAACCGACCGAGCGCACACCGTTGATACCGAGGCTATCCTCCGACAGCTTCAGCACAGATGGGAGCACCAATGGGGTCGACGTTGAGGGGCAAAAACAAATGCCCAAAAAGCATTGGTTCCGTGGCTTGAAGGACCTGACGGTCAACGTCGAGGATCACATTGTCCATGGCGTCCAAATCGCGACAAGCCCCAAAATTTGGGATCGTAAAGTTCTATGGCAGAATGCCGTGGTTGCGCCAGTGTCGTGTTTGCCCGCTGTCATTGTGGGTTTGTTGCTGAATGTACTCGATGCTTTGTCTTACGGTAAGTCTGGTGTAAGTCAAGTTGGAGTACAAACTTAACTGACTGTTACAGGCATGATTCTCTTCCCTCTTGGCAAGCCTATTTTTGCCGGTCTCGGCTCGGCTGGCATTTCGATCTTCTATGTCAGCACCATTGTCTCGCAATTGACGTTTTCATTTGGCAGTATTTTCAAGGGTGGTGTTGGCTCCGAACTTGTAAGTAGAACCACTTCGACCAGTTGCCAAGACTTGACTAACAGGACCTCAGATCGAAGTCGTGCCATTCTTCCACAACATGGCCGAAACGATCACCAACCACATTGGCCAGGATCAGCCTGATGCTGTGATCGCGACGACTATCGTCTCTTATGCGATTAGCTCAATGATGACAGGAACTGTCTTCTACCTCATGGGCAAGTTCAACTTCGGGTACATGGTTGGCTTCATCCCGCGCCACATTCTGATTGGCTGCATCGGCGGTGTTGGCTGGTTCCTGGTTGCTACAGGCTTCGAGGTGTCAGCCCGCATGGACGGTAGCCTCGAATACGACCTCGATACCCTCCACAAGCTCTTCCAGACCGATACAATCCCTCTCTGGGTGACCCCCCTCATCCTGGCTATAATCCTCTTCTACAGCCAGGCCAAGGGAGCGTCAAAGTACTTCTTGCCGCTGTACATCATTTCCATTCCGATTGTCTTCTACTTCTTTGTATTTTCTTTGGACGCGCTCGAGCCCGATTCCCTCCGTGATCATGGCTGGATCTTTGAAGGCCCCCCGGCTGATGAGCCGTGGTGGTACTTCTATACGCTGTACAGTACGTTTAGTCCGCCCTCTCTGATCCGGACGGTCGCTAACAAATGTCCCAGAATTTCACCTCGTCGAATGGGATGCTGTGCTGGAGTGTATTCCCGCCATGCTTGCCCTTACTTTCTTCGGCATTTTACATGTCCCCATCAACGTCCCGGCCCTTGCGCTACAGACAGGCGAAGATAACGCTGATCTTGATCGCGAGCTGAAGCTTCACGGCGCTTCCAACTTCATCTCTGGCCTCGCTGGTAGCATCCAAAACTACCTCGTCTATGCCAACACTGTTTTCTTCATGCGTTCCGGAGGAGACAGCAGGCTCGCCGGTATCATGCTAGCTGCTCTGACCTTTGGTGTAATGATTGTCGGGCCGAAGATCATAGGCTTCATTCCCATCATGATGGTCGGCACCCTGATTTTTGACCTGGGATTTGAGCTTCTTCTCGAGGCTGTTTGGCTTCCGAGGAAGAAGCTGAAGCTGGCAGAATATCTCACGGTAAGTTACTACTTGATTTAGTTTTTAAGAAACAAGCTGATGATTTCCAGGTGATCGTCATTGTCCTCGTTATGGGCATCTACGACTTTGTCATCGGTATCGGTGTGGGTATCATACTAGCGTTTGTCTCCTTGATCTTTCAGACATCGAGGGTTCCTGCGGTGCGAGCAAGCTACACGGGCGAGATCGTCGGCTCCACCGTGCGCAGAAACCCCTCGCAGCACCATTACCTGCAGGAAGTTCGTCGACAAATATACATCGTCAAGCTTACGGGCTTCCTCTTCTTCGGCACTGTGGTCAGCGTCGAAGAGAAGATTCGAGCTCTCATCGACGACGGAGCCTTTACTGAGAGGCCCATCAAATATCTCATCCTCGACCTGTACCATGTTACAGGCCTGGACTACTCAGCTGGTGAGGCTTTCAATACCATCAGCAGATTGCTTGACAACAAGGGCATCATTCTTGTTATTAGCGGGAAGGATGCGGAGAGTGAAGTTGGCAGAAACTTGAGACAGGTGGGACTGCTAGGAGATGACGACATCGAAGTCACGCTGCTGCCAGACCTCAACTCGGCCCTCGAGAGCTGCGAGAACGAGCTTCTCAAGACGCTATACGCAAGCCAGCAAGAGCTTCGCAAGAATAACCGCCACGCACCAACGGCCAACCTCGACGTACCAGCGGCGAAGTCAGATGGAGGATCCTTCGACATTGTCATCAACTCGCCGAGACGTAACCAGCTCCACGAGGCGGCGAGAAATGCATTGGCGAACACAGAACCTTTGGGGACGACTAGGTGGCAGAGCTTTAAGGAACCGCTGCGACTGATGTTGCAAATTTTCCAGGGCTTAAGTGAGAAGAACGAAGACTTCTGGTTCAGAGCTGTTGGCTACTTTGTCAAGAAGGAGTACAGGGCAGGTACCGTCCTGTTCAAGAGAGGCGAAGTCGCAAAGGGCTTTTACCTGGTTGAGCACGGCATTCTTCGCTGTGATTACGACCTGCCCCAAGGCTCACTGACGGAGAGCATCGTCGCCGGTACAACGTGCGGCGAGCTTCCCTTCTTCTCGGAGACGGACCGTACAGCTACGGTCACCGTGGACAGGGATTGCGTGGTATGGAGGATGGACAAGGAGGGATGGGAGCGGCTGCAGAAAGACCAGCCGGACGTCGCGCAGGAGTTGCTCAGAATGTCGCTGAAACTGACGAGCGAGCGTATGACGTCTATTACGTCGTACATCCTGACTATGGCGGGATAAGGGAACGTGTGCTCACACAAATTTTCTTGACTACTACTACTATCGGCTGGAGTTCGTATGGATACAAAAAACAAACCAGGATGTCAAAAGGGGGTTTGGACTTGGGAAGTCATCATAAGCGAGGCGCTCTTTTTTTTCAAAAGTAGCAGAAAAAGTACCTATCTATCTCAGACATGAGGGGTGGCAATCCTCTCCGACAGCGGGTGAAGTTTGGAAAATGACAAGCTCAATTACATCTGCTCTGTTAGCTTTGAATATGTGAAATTTTTGATAACATGGTCTTAGCTCAGCACCAATGTGTTCCTGTTCTTGTGGTAACATTTTGCCGTCCGTGGGGATATTCGGACTAAGAAGACAGAAACTCGTACTTCAACAAACCCGTCGGCTATTCTGTTGTCCTTGTCATCGTCTCTGGCGTCCTTGGCGGTATATCTACTATCCTTGATCGACCCTGTTGTCCCTATCTGCCCGAATAGCAAAGGTCTTCCTGTATGTGTAAGTGTTTTTCCATGTTTCCCTAGCACAAAAGGCATCCAGAAGTCATGCACCTAGTCTGCAAAAACGGAAGATTTCGTGTGATGTATTAACTGCCAAGTATTCCGCTTTCTACACAGGTATTTCAACCCACCTGTTCCGGCTCCAGATCGGATCGTGGACCCGTCGTGTTCATAAATTTAGCGCCAAATACAATCAATAGGGAGCAATTCTGGAGAGGCATCGAATGGACAGTATGCTAGTTTTTCTCGAAGACGTACTGGGAGAATACGATGATTTGAATATTCTTTAAGCTTCGGCGAGTTTTCAGCACTCTTCCACCTTGAGAGGTATAGGCTTTGTGGACAAAAATATTTCATGGTAGTGCATTCCATGTGACTCTACGCCGTTCATCAAGCTGAGAAAAAAAAGCTTCCTCACTGCTGCACCAATAATCTCCGATCTCCAGTTCAGACATAATAAAGGAAGCGCAAAAAGTAGGGCTTCCTACTTCAGCCACCTGCACATCTCACCACCATCCCAGGCCTTGGATACGAAGACGCTTTTACTGATCAGAAACTGAACAGTCAGCTCTATTCAGCAACCATTCAAAAGAAACCGTACACGATGGAGCCTGGAGATATACCCAAGACTGAAGAGCGTAATGCTGATGACTCCTCTTCGAGCACCAGGCTTACATCTCAGGGGTCCACAGTACCGAAGATCAATGGAAGGAGGGAGTACAGAGGCGCAGGAGAGCATCCGTTCAATGAATGTTGGGACGACTGTCGCAATGATCCAGCAGACGTGAGATCCCAGATTCTTGGCGCACTCCAAGGATTTCGATGGAATTCTTATGGTGTGTCAAGAGTTGGCCCAAGCGACGGTAAACCGGAAGATTTCCCAACATATGTGTCGATTACAGCCGAGGCAGACACGTTTGACTGGGAACAGGCAGACGTCGTCGTTCTCAAATACCAGAAGATATTGGACCAGTATGGCTTCTCGGATGTGTGTTGCGAATTAAGCGAGACCGTTCCTATGGAATTGGAGAAGTATCGCAAATGGGTATTGAAAAATCGAGGAAGGTATTACTATCATGGTCTGCCGTCAAACCCGACTTTGTTGGCCAGATCCCCCGATCCTACTTGGAACCCGCCAATCGACAATTACGAACCGGGATTTTACTCTCCATCACCTGTGGACAAGTATCTATCCCCACTTGGCCGCCATCCCATCACCGAGAAATGGAATAATGATGACGGCAGTGCTTCTCTGAGGTCTCATGTTCTGCAAAACCTCAAGGGGGTCAACTGGACTTCAGTTGACATACTCAGATGCGGTCATCAACATGAAGAGGACTTGCCCGCGATCCTCTTCGTTTCGGTTGAGCCAGGTAGCACCACGCCAGAGGAGGCACAGCAGCTTGCTGATAGATGCGCAGCCACGCTTATCAACCACGGACTCACTGATGTATCTTGCGAAGTGAAAGAATCGCACGTGGTTCCACTGAGCACGCTGCAGCCACTTGCAACAGTTGTCGACACAAACCAATCATGGAAGGCAAGCTACAACCTGACTGACCTGGTTGGTGCAACGATAGCTGGATCTGAGCAGCAGGAGAAGCAAGGTACCAAGGGGCCTTATCTTCGAGTCAAGACCGTCGAGAACGGCATAACAACATCGTCAGTCTGCGCCTTGACATGCAGGCATGTGTTATCGTCTTCGGCCCAAGGAACGGAGCACTATGGTTCGAATAAAATCTGGCAAGGTTGTGAACCTGTCGTACAGCCGGAGATCCATCATCCAACCAAGCTGGATTATCTCACAAAGCGTCAAGCACGTAAGGTCCAAGACCATTGCGATGATCCCGCAGCCGAAGAAAGAACGTTTGCATCTTCCAACGCCCGAAGTACCGTCGACTCTATGGCATTCGGCCATCTTACCCGTGCAAGACAAGGCTCAAGCGGCAGAGCGACAGATTGGGCGCTCATCAGGCTCGACGCCGACAAGCATGAGCGACCTTTGGATACTATTAAGAACCATGTGTCTATCGGTTTCGGTATCGATAACGGGTATAATCATGGGTACGAGGCAGAACAATATTGCTTTGTGGCGAACACTTTCTTTCCCCCACAGGACGGCATTCACAATTTGCGGGGCATCCTGCCAGTTGCAAACATACAAGCGCCAGAATCTGAGGATCCTACACGTGCGAGCGCAATCTGCCTCGGCAAGATCGGGCACGGCTCAGGCCTGACTTTTGGTCTCGCGAACCAGGCCTTATCGATTCTTCGCCGGCCTGTGTCTTCTACGAAAGATGGAGGTGATCTCGGCGAAGAAGATGACTCGATACACCTGTCAGTGTGCGTTATGGGCAAAGCCGGGGGGTATGGAATAAGGCCATCTACGAGAAGCTTCGGCATCGGGGGTGACTCTGGTGCTTGTGCTTGGGATCTCAACGGGCGCGTCGCCGGGATGGTGACGGCGGGGTCTATGTGGGACTTGGAGGATCGTTGGACGAACGTGACTTACGTTACGCCGATGGAATGGATCCTGGAGGATATGAGGGAGTGTGGTTTGGAGGCTAGTCTCTGCGAATAGGACACAAATCATGCCTTGTGAATGCTCGAATGCCTCAAGGTCTTTAAATGTCCCAAAATAAACCGTGAATTTTACAGCGAACAAAGGGATGAAGGCTTCAACTGGTATTGCTACACTCAGCATTGTCAATTCGGCTTTCACTTGCCGGTGGTGACCTACAGAGTGCCCAGATTATCAGTGTCGTTAAGGACGCATCATATTATTATGTGATATTACCTCCTTTCCATGCCTCGGCTGCAACTTGCCATCCGGCTTCTATGCCGTGCTGAGTAGAAAATAATATCGGTCCGAATTACGCTTTTATCTTTTCGACGCCGCGAGCTGTTCAGGCCCTAGTATTTCCTAGCTTGATACGCCATCTTGCCGGCATGAGGCGATGCGTTTTCGCCAGCCACTGCACTCATAGCAGCATTGCTAGACATTCCGCAATTGACCGTGTTATAATATACCTTCGTTCAAATTACCAAGCCAACCGCCAGGAAAGCATCAAAAAAGCCAAACAGTCTCGATAACCTCCGTCCACGTGCTCCTGTCGACAAACGCCCAGAGTTTCGTTTGATGTTCGTCCCAAGGTTTTCCAGCAAGCGCCCGTACCGTGTTCTTCCTTCGTCCCAACTCTTTCCTGTACTACCAAGAATAACAATTTAGCCAACGTGACAGTCACGAAAACTTTAATCCGGTCGCAGACACCAACCGGAAGAGAAAAAAAAAAGCTGTCATCTTTTCGTTCAATGATACCCAAATCTAACAGCCGATACCTTCGCTCCTACATCAATTTGGAGCCGCGAATCTTCTTCGGTCCTCGCTGATTAACGGTCCATCCAATCACAGCCCAACGCCCGGACCAAAAAGGACGTGTCGTCGGATTTGCCACCCCATCCCAAAGATCCACCCGAATCGACATCCGGAAAGGCGCAGGCGGGCGGGCGTGCGTTGCGTTGCGGCGGCGTCAGACGCAACCCGCCCTTTAAAAGCGGAAGTGGAACCCCCCGCCGGACTGCGTCCCGGATATCCTCACCTCATCCTCCTACCCTTTTCTAACTTTTTGTCCATTTTTATCTTGCTTTTTCTCGATCCATCCCATCCCATCCCGTCCTGATCGGATCGCGGCGCAGCACCCGGGAGAGACACACACAGAGAGAGAGAGACATGAGTCTACGGTCTATATTAGGCGGCGGCCGGGTAAAAAAGGCAAAGCCAAAATCGTCGGCCTCGTCACCTCGCAAGAACGGTGGCACCAGCAGTCCGAGGGCTGGGGGCAAGAACAAGAAGCAGCCGCCTGACGCAGACTCTGACGACGGTGGCAATGACTATTTCAATGACAGACTGGACGACGCCGGGTTGGTCGCGGCGCTTGCGACGGACATGTCGCTCCGCGATGTTGTGCAGGCCATCAGGTACACCCGCAACAACATGTTCGGCCCGGTCCCCGCAGAGGCGGCGGGCATGAACTCTACGCGCATCGCCGAGGTGCTTAATTACCGTAAAGCCATGCCGGGGCTGGTGACCGTCTCCCATCTCCATGCGCTGCTGGCCTCTCCCACCGCGGTGGAGCGCGAGGTCGCAGAGTTGCAGCGCGGCGAAGTGGTTCGCAAGATCTACGTGCAACGTCGCGGCGGGCTCGGCGAGGCACTTATACAGTCTTCCGAGTTAGAGGAGATGATCACGCAGTCCACCGAGCTCGACGGGGAGACGCAGGCCATGTTCCTGAGCTTTTTGAAGGAGAACCCGCAGGCGCAGACGATGCCGCGGGCTGCCTGCAGTTACAAGCAGGCTGATGCCTTGGTGCGGGCAGGGTTCCTCACAGCGAAAACACACTCGCAGGACGTGAACACGCCACTGATGAATCTTCACTTGCGCCCGGAGGTGCGCGCCAGCCTGACGAGTATCGAGGCGGTGTCCCGCGCAGCGTCCGGCACCTTTGACGCCGTGGGCGGGCAAGGAGCAATACACGCCGCGGGTGGTGGGGGAGGGGCACCGCGGCTGTCCCGCGCCGACACGTCATCTCCCGACTACACCATCGCGGTCCCCGGGAACGGTTCTTTTCTCAAGCTAACTGCCGCCGCGGTGGAACATCTGAACAAACTGCTGTCCAAATCGCAATTTAGGGAGATGCCCGTGTCTATGCTAAGAGAGAGATGGGAAGGTGGCGTGGCTCGTGACGAGGCACGCCTGGCAAGGAGGGCCAGGGGAGAGTTTGCTGGAGTATTGCCGGGACGGACGAAGAGGTGGAAGGAGTTTTACGGATTGGAATTCAACTGGGTCTTGGAAGAAGCCATGGGGGCCGGTCTGGTTGAGGTTTTCGAGACACGGAGCGTAGGTAGGGGAGTCCGTTTGTTGTAGCCCCGGGAGCCCGAATGTGTTAACGGCGAGCGGGGTACTTTAAGCTCGATACCATGAAGATCACGGATAGCCTTCAAATCTCGAACGGTCCATAGACGGCAGCAAGAAGGAGCTGCGGATGAAACTTGTCTGCCAAAGCCCTGTGGTATCGCTTAGCATACCACGACACCGTCACTCGGGGATGCTGTGGCCGCCTTCCGGCATGTTCATCCGAGTCCGATGTCTGCAAGAGTAAAATGAAATCATGAACACATTTGAAGCACGCAGATCGAGTCAGGGCAACATTTGTGTGTGTGTGTGTGTGTGTGTGTGTGTGTGTTTCCCGATTTAGGACCGACATGTTCCCTGCCAGTGTGTGTGTGTGCACTCGAGCTGCGGCAAATCCGTGATGATTACGTGGGAACGGGAAAAGGGGGAAGAAGCCTGTTCGTGAGGTCTTCCCCAAAGCCCCGGTTCCCTGTCTTTCATCTGTCGCCAAGCACGGGATTGTGGTGAGAGCCGTGAGGGGTCACACTTACAGCGCGCAGTAAGAGCGAAGTGGCGATGCGGCTCCAGGGTGATCTAGGTAAATCCCAGGTGTTTGCGGTTTGATCTCCCACGCTTCGCCCAGTCGCAGCGTCTTTCGTGGAGGGCACAAAATTTAGGCGAGAACGGCTTTGTTTTTAATGTGACTTCGAGGGTCGAGAGTTTCGAGTCATGGAGCACTCCAAAGCATGAGCAGAGCATGAACGTCAATCACCTCTCATCTGTTCTTTCCACTGATTCGCGTGGCCCTGTCAAGATCACAGACCTCGAGCCTTATCGTGCGGGTTATGGGGCTCTCTCTGCAGGACGCGATACACGCCGTCGTTTTCTAGTTACATGAGTTTAGCTCGTTCTCATAACGAATGAATCGTACAACACGCAACTGGTCTTGATGCAATATCGAAGTTCTCGTAAGATGGGACCCGAGGCGTAGTGGAGACGGCGTCGACGGCAGATGCTTGCACGTCTGCAACTAGTGCTGCATGTTGAGGTAGTTGTTTTGGGTAGTCGATGAGTTGACATTCAAAGATCAGACACTTCTCGAACGAAGTGCTGAGGACAGAGGCGCAGCGATTCGACGTCGGGGTTCGGGGTGGCTGATTGCTGGGCAGGAGTTTGACGTTGGATGTAACGCAAAACGCTTGTATGCCGGGATTAACAAACAGAGATCAAGCTCAGGGGCTTAATCGACCACCTCGAGGTCAACGACGCGATGACCAAACCACGCGGGGGCTGCTCCGAAGCTTCCTGACCGTTGCAAAACGGCGGGCTATGCAGCTTGTCTGCGCGTTGAAACCCCGAATTGGAAAGGGAAAAAAGCAACTTGAGCTGCAATGCAAAGGGCGGATACGTTCAACCCCCGTCAGAAGTTGAGGTAAAGTGAGCTTTGGCCACGGCCTGGCCTTTCGAGAGACGGCCTAGTAGAAGACAATTTTCCCGAGGGCTTTGTGTGAGGCGACCAAGGTGCTAACAACCATGGTGAGGCACTTGCGCTACTGTCCTGCGACGTGGGATTGCGGAGAATGCAGCAACTCCAAGTGCCAGGTTCGTCGGATGACGGAATCGCGAAGGCACGGGATGGATCATAGACAAACAGCAGCTGGCAACCGTCGCAACGAGACATGGACACACGGTACAGAGCACGGCTCGGCGAGACTGTCCCGGTGTCGGGGTTGCTGTCTCTTGTTCTCGCTTGTCCACCCGTCCTGTCACCGGTTATCTCTTGCGCTGCGATCAGGCGGCAAGACAGATGAGTCTGCGGAGAGATCTTCAAGTGGCCAGAGAGCAATTGGTCAATTCGAACGAGGGGCCTGGCAGGATTGGTGTGACGGCCGAGGCCCTAGAGACTGGTGGATCCGGGTCACGTCGAGAGGTTGTGTATCGACGAATGGGAACTGGCGGGGAGTGGGCGAGGCTGCAGCTAGCACGCTCGTCGTCACACAGACTCGGACGCCAGTGTGTGTCTTCTCTTGACTTCTGGGACCACTGGGTGGTGCTAGGAAGCTTGCCGGAGCCGGCTCCAGGTGCGGGTGCAGGAAAGGTGATGGATGCTAACGGGTAGCTGTTAAATTGACGGGGTCGTTTTGTTATTTTGCCCGCGCTAAGCCTATAGAAGGCAAAACTGTCCGTGCGCGCTGAGGTAAGCAGACCCGCTGCACTAACATGATATATATACTATCGCCGAACTTCAAAAAGCTATAGAAAAACGAGGGAAAATCGTAGAAATAAGTTCTCAGTGAGCAGGCTATGCTAGTAAGGTTTGGAAGTTAGGTGTTATGGTTAGGATTAGGCGTTAGGTTATGTTAGGGTAATGGGATCTGTTAATAGGGTTTAGGAGATGTTAAGGATACCGTCAATTTAACAAAACGACCCCGTCAATTTAACACTAACCTGCTAACGAGCGTGTGCCTGGGCGATATGCTGGGCGATTGTGTGCACGGGCACGCCACACATGGGACTTGTAGAGTTGATGGGAGCGCGCGTTGGCTGAATGAGGTAGTGATATGAGGGCGTCGGAAATTACAGCGTGGTCCGTCCATATGGGGGTAGGAAGCATGTTGCTGCCAATTCGCAGGCCTGGTTTGATTGCGACCACGATTGGCACTTTAAGTGCGAAACCCAGCCTTTCCATTTGGCGCGCTCTGTCCAGTTGCTGGGTCGAGTCATCGTTGATGAGCCAGACGACTGGCTTTCCCTAATCGACATCGAGGGTCTTGTGTGGGTTGGTTCATGGATGCCTTGGGTCGAGGGTCGGAGAGAGCACCGAGGGTGGAGGTCGAAGCCAAGCATTCGGGGCACGAGGCAGGCCGCAGCTGCTGGCGATGTGCGAGGCGGGCTTCCGTGCTGTCAAGACCCAGAGAGATGGACGAAAGACATGTGGCGGTATTGTTTCTCGGCGTGGGACGAGCCAGCAAGCAAGCTGGGCTGATGAGAGACGTCGACGACAATTCCATTTCACGACAGCTGAGCCACGCTTGCGGGCTGCGCGGTACCTCGCACCTGCATACGCGTGCTGCCCTGTCCTTCTCATTGTTGATCCGATGATGGATTTGAAGTGCCGTCCGTAGCAACGAGCGACATGCTCGCAGCTCACAAGCGTTGGACCAGGAGTGAGCCAGTTCGGATATGACAGCAGGGGTCCTGTGGGATGCAGGTATCTCGGGACCTGGACTTCAAGTAGCGGCAGGGAGTCAGGCCGCAAGGCGACGCGGGCTATCTTCTGGCAGAAAAGGGAGACGTTAGCTGGTAGCTTGATCCAAGCGAATGCGTGGCTTTCGCGATTAAAGGGGCGTCGCGACTTGCCGGCTACCTGGGATGCTTGTATCGCACGGCGAGGAGGCGCGTACATGGGAGCTAGTCCGCAAAGAGACTGACCCCCTGCTGTGCCTGAGTTGAGAGCTGGTCCTTGCAGGGGATATTGACAGGGGTACAATCTCCAAAGTCTGGGTACCAATTTGACGATGGGCGGGCTAGCAAGGGAAACTTTCTGGGGTGGGAGTGACGATGAGTGGTGCACTGAACGGACCCCATTAGCCCTGGCTAGTCATTATTGAGGGAGCAGTGGATGAGAGGCGACGAGCACCCGAGAGAACAGAGATTTCGCCGTCGATAATTGCGGTAATGGAAAGGTACCCCCTGGCCTGTGAAGAAGACGCCAACCGTGTTGGTCGAGGATGCTGACTGACTTGGATGACTTTTTAATCGACGTTGCACTTGCAATCGCAAAGTGGAGGGTGCATACGGATGCAGAGTAGGAGCAGCACAATCTAAGGTAATTGACCAACAGTGGCTCGGCGAATCGACGAATACTAGCCGGGGGAAAGCAGAAGGAAGAGAGACACATCAGTGGAGGGAATGACACGAGCAGAGAGATGAGCAACGCAAGTCTCGCCCAAAGTGCGTTGGTATTGGCAACTGGCATGGCAGCGAGAGCAGGGGACGACGGCGAGCAGAAGGGAAAAATCTCTCCCAATTATCCCTCTGATCCCCTTTTTGGCCTGTCTCTCTCTTAACACAAACATCATCTCCTCTTTTTTTTTCTTGCCTCCTGCGCCGCGCTCCCTTCAGTGTTCGCTTTTCGGAACGCTTGCTGTGCTCTGGCTGCTGTTGCCCCTCCAAACGCGGCGGCTCTTCCTGCTCCAGCCTGATATTTTGTTTCTCTCCATCAATGTACCTCGTTGATGCCCGTCCTTATTCGGCGCTGATACCAAGGATCGCCAGTTTTATTCATCGGGTTGATTGATAGCTTGTATTGCGCAATTCAGTGCCTCTTCCGTACCCGTTGTCGGCATATCCCACGCACAACTTTTAGTGGGGTCTCACAAGCTCCCGTCCTGAAAAAGCAAAGGGAAAAAAAAAACGGTACGTACCCACACCACTTGCATTTACGCTGCAGTGTGCATGCCGGGCCACAATCCACAGTCCACAGCCCGCAGTCCACACCCACGTCCGCTGTTACCTCCCTCTTCTAGACTGCAGCCAGTCCCGTGAAAGGAAAGGAGCGGCGCTGGGTAGACGAGGAAGAGAGAGAAAGAGGGACGTGGAGAGTGGCATGCGCACCACACTACGGAGTACCTCACCTTACCTTACCTATCCTATCCGTACCTCACACTTTGCACTTGCTGCTGCTCCTCGGCTTCCCCCCATCCATGCTCCCAAAGTCTGAACAACCAACAACGCGCCTAACACGGAAAAGACGTGCTGCCAACAGGAACAGGAATAGGAAAAGGAACAGCCCAGGCCTCGATCCCGAACCTAACGTCGGGGTCCCATATCGCTCCCAACTCCCCCGACGAATCTAATAATCAGCCACCCAGCTTTGCTCTTCACCTCTTGGACACCAAACGACCCTTTTCCCGCTACGCGACCTTACCGTCGACGACACTAATCGCACCGAAACGCACTTTTCATCACCACATTCTCTCTCAGTTTCTCCATTTCACCGACCCAACACTCCTTTTCATCTCGCCTGTCATACGCATACTCAAAACGCGCCCGGAAAAAAAAGAGAGGCGCACGCTCTTGCTGTATCTTTCTTCGTCTTTGCACACACGGTTCCCGGTCTCAGTCGCCGATATTCAGAACCTTCGCCACGCTATTCTCTCGCCAGTCGGATTTCCTGGCTTGTTTCTCCCATTCTTCGCTTCCGCCGGCAACTCTTGCTCTCTCCGCCAAGCCCAAACGTTCCCGTCGCTCGAGACCCGGATCTCGCCTTTCCACAAAGCATCGGATCGCATCGCCTCGTACCGAAATCTTCACATCTCAAGGATCAGACTTCCCGCAAATTCAATTCCCGCCCAGCCGTCCCGGCCGAATTCCATACCGTGTCTCCCCCAACTCTTTTAACTCTATACCGCACGCAAACGTGTTTCTCGCTTTCTCGAAGCTCAGACTCCACGGCTCCCAGCGAATCCGCGCTCGTCTACCCCAAGCCCAGCGCTGCCGTCGAAACATTTCCACTGGACGAAACTACCCCCTCCCTCCCTCCCGCGTCCAATTTTTGAGTTTCCCCGACCTGCCGCCCAATCTGAGTACCCGTCGCCATCCCAGTCCTGCGACTTTAGCTGCGCGAGGCACTAGAGGCACCGTGCTCGCAAGCCGGACGAAAAAGAAAGCCCACGCTGTACGCCGCCCGCTAGCGCAAGGAATACAGCTCGACCAAGAACCCACCAGAGTCAGACCTTCGTTTTCCCTCAGTACCGCTGCCGCGTAGAGGCGACAGGCTCGGCACTGCAGCAAGGAATACTCCGCAAGACATACACGAGCTGGCTCCTATCCAGGGACAACCCCCAAAAAGTCTCGTCGTTGGCATCTCTTCCTCCTCATCATCCTCTTCGGCCCACAAACAAACAACACGAGAAATACCGCTCAACCAGCCACCCACTACGATCTCGTAAGTTTGCTTTTCTCCCACCTTCCCTGCCACCACCCGCCTCATGGGATCGCCCTCGTCGCTGGTCAATCTGCATGTCATGCTTGACTCCCGTGCCCGCCGCTATGATTGTCATTATCCCGGTGCACTGACAAGTTTACTTACCAGCAATAACCTCGAAATCCGATGAAAAGCTCCCACGTCACCCAGCACACCCTCAACGCATAATAACGTTTCATACGTCCCTGGTTCTCGAAAGTGTCCAACGTGCCGGGATACCAGCCACTCGCAGGCCAGCCCCCCCGTCGACGCTTTCGGCCTTGGGACGAATTCAACCCACGCGAAGAGGTCCCTCGTTATCGACGTAATCGGCCTCCTGACGACCAATCCCCCCTTTACGCTCCCGTGTTCATGGACCGACCAACTTCCTGCTTGTTTCCGACAAACTAGAAGGCGTCTCGCCCAACTTCGGGTCTATTGTTGCTTTGCAGGACAACTAGCTCCCACTCTCGTTTTCTGTACGGAATGGCGACGACGCTCCCGAGGCCAGCGAGGCCTTCAAACGGCCCGCCGACCATGGCTCTACCAGCTCTCCCAGTCCCAAAGACGAGGAAAAGCACTGGAAACCTTCCGACGCCGGCATCAAAATCTAGCCCGTCGACACCCAACCCGAAGAGCGGCCTTCGCGCCCCTTCTTCCTCTTCGGCGTTCCTCCCCCCCACGACCCCCGCTCCCACATCAGCACTCCCGCAACCGCGTGCGGTCTCTGCCATGAGCAATTCTTCAATAAAGACATTGCGCAAGACAGTGAGCATTAACTCGTTCCCCCAGCCACCACGAGGCGACAATCGCGTCAATAGCCTTCCCCCGAGTCCACTTGGTGCTGACTCCTCGCGGAATTCAACACGCAAATCAAAGGGCTCTATCGCGTCAAACTACTCCCATTTGAGCAACGGCGCCCCGAGCCTGCTGAACAACAATGCCGAGGGGAAATCGATATCAAGCGCAAGTGTGCGCATGTCAGACGGCCTCATCAGTGTATCATCACCGCCTCAAAGCAGGAGCTCCTCAGCACAGGATTCTTACTCAACTTCCGCGACGACGTATGATGACCCTATTGATGGAGCAACGGCCAAGTCCTCATCTGACGCCTTCAGTGACAAAAGAGGCTCTAAGCTGGACGGCAAAGGTAATGTTGTAGTCAGCGTAAGAGTGCGTCCAGACGCTGGCGGCAATGAAAACAGCAAGACCGAGGGCGAGTGGATGGTTGATGGACGCAAGTCTCTCGTTGCGTATCGAGGAAAAGAGGGCGGTGATTATTTCTACGGTAAGGTTCTCTCCTTCGATATGTAGAGCCGGTTCTGACAGTGGTTGAAAGATAATGTATTCACGACACACGATGACAACAGCCGCGTATACGACTGTATTGCTAAGCGCTTGGTACGCCGAGTGATGGAAGGCTATCATGGAACCGTTTTTGCCTATGGTATGACTGGTACCGGAAAGACCTTCTCGATGCAAGGAACAGCCTCTTCGCCTGGTGTCATTCCGCTTGCGATTACCGACATTTTCTCCTACATCAGGGAAACACCGTCACGCGAATTTCTTCTTCGCGTCAGCTATCTGGAAATCTACAACGAGAAAATCCACGACCTCCTCAGCATGTCCACTGGACCCGGCGCTGGGGCCAACGGTGGGCAAGAAGAGATCAAGCTGCGCGAGGACAGTAAACGCGGAGTCTACGCCAGCCCTTTGAAGGAAGAAATCGTTCAGAGCCCAACCCAGCTTCTGAGAGTGATTGCTCGTGGAGACCAAGCGCGGCGGACGGCTAGTACCCAATTCAATGCGCGCAGCTCTCGAAGTCATGCGGTGGTCCAGATTGTGGTGGAGAGCCGAGAGCGGATACCAGGGAACCCTGGAGGCGGCGACAGTAAAAGATCTGGAATGCTGCCCGGGGGCGTGCGTGTCTCGACACTTAGCTTGATCGATCTTGCAGGATCCGAAAAGGCTGCCGAGTCCAAGGAACGACGGACTGAAGGTTCACACATCAACAAGAGTTTGCTGACGTTGGGCACCGTCATCTCGAAACTCTCCGAGCACAAGGACAAGGACGGAAAGGCTGCCGACAAAGATGGAAAACACTTGCCATACCGAGACAGCAAGCTGACTAGACTTCTGCAAGGGGCTTTATCGGGCGGGTCTCTGGTCAGTATCCTCTGCACGATCCAGATTGGCGCAGCCGGCAGCGCAGCATCCTCCAACTCTCATACCTCGGAAACCATCAACACACTGAAATTCGCCTCAAGAGCGAAGAACAATATTGTGAGCCATGCGAAGAAAGCCGAGGAAGCGCTCGGCGCAGGGGGTGACGGCGGCGCCAGAGTCTTGCTGGAACGGTATCGCATGGAGATCCTAGAGCTGAGGCAACAATTGGACACACAAGCCAAGGAGAAAAACGCGAAACGCGCCGAGGCAGAAAAGGAACGAGACGCTGAGGAAGAGAAGGCCCGGGAATTGGAGGCTGAGCATCGGCATGAAGAGCAAATGCTCGAAATGCAACTGGCCCGTACAGCATTGAAAGAACGGATCGATCACCTTAACCGTCTGATCTTGAGTTCCAAATCAATTGGCGTCAACGCGAGCGGGTCCTACAGCGCCTTGGGCATCCACACGAGATCGTCCATGGCCTCCGTCCGGTCGTCATTGGCCACTTCAGTCAGCGGCAGACCGATACTCGAGAGAACCGCATCAATGACATCGGCATCGTCAACTATCGGCCGTCGATCAAGCGGACGGTCGAGTGGAGGCCAGCGGCTGTCCAGCGGTGAAGGAGGCGGAGTAATGACGGATGACGACAGCGTTGGCGAGTACGGTGATGGTAGTGCCTCATTGACAGCACAGAACCGCGCCTTGCAGGCCGATCTTGCGGACAAGACAAGGTACATCCAGACGCTCGAGAAGAGATTGATGCAGGCACGACGGGCCAGCTCTTCTAGGACATCGGTTGGCTTCTCTACTCCTAATAAGGGCATCATGGTGGGCGAAGACCATAGTGTGTCGACGTTGCTGAGAGAGAAGGACGCCGAAATTGCCGAGCTGAGAGCTCGGCTAGATGACAAGGATCGCATGCTGGCAGCGTTACGCTCTGCCGCTCGATCTCGAGAGGTGGCAGAGGGTGCCATGGACGGACGAACATCTGCTCTGTACGAGCACAGCCCACCACCAACGATCAACCCGCCCCCAGCGCCTTCGAATGCCTTGGCCGGCCGCTCAAACTCCCTCACAGCTCGTTCGAACTCTCTGACAAATCCTCGCACCCGTACAAAAAGCGTTGATGAGGTGAATCAGATCCTGGACGAGATGATCCAGGACCGTGTGGAGACTGGTCACCTTGTCAGAGGCGTGAGAGGCAGTGTCCGAGTTGCCAGTGATCGCAAACTCGAGACTCACCCGGAGAACTCTCTGAAGATGGAGCCGCTCAGGAAGACGGCGTCATTCGATGATGGCAACAGGGCATCAGCAGTGCAGGCGTGAGGAAATGCTGTGGGACGTTGCTGGTTAAGTCTTTTGTGTTGTGAGGACGGGGTAGTTTTGGGCCTCATACAGGGAGCCTCACGAAGGCAAGGAAAGGCGTTCAGGATGGGTTTACCACTGACCCAATATTGGTTTTCTTCTTATACCCGACAACTTTCTTTCGCCATGGCCAATGGTTGAAGAGGCGGATTATGCCTCGTTCTTTTTTTTTTCGGAACCAGCCTTACCTATCGGCCTGTTTTATTAGCGTATTGATACGGGCAGGAGGAAGGACTGATGAATTTCTTGTCACGATCGAACCGTGCAACATCGGAGCATCGGGATCAGGTTATCATTTGGACGGAAGAGTTTTACGGGCGGCGGAAAAAGCGACGAGGTCTGTCAATGGCTTTTAATATTGGGCAGATGATTGTGATGGATCATGTACATCAGAAAGCAGGCCTGGTCAGCTAGCTAATTACGGGACGAGGAGCGACGAAAAAAGAGAAGACTATGATCTATCACACGCAGCTTCCCTTTCTATTGACGGCAGTTTGAGGTGTGTCTCTGATCTACACGGCTGGAAACGTGTAAGATACTCGGGTCGCCAGGTCAGTGACGAATCATTATCCAGATGGGAATATGCCGAGTCTTCAGCTCGGGATCTTGCATCCCATAGTGTCCACGGCAGAGAGTGGTGTTCAGCCTGTCATTTGCTTACTGTTGTTTGTTTGTGACCATAATTCCGTTTGGAGGCACGCGAATCGGCTGACGAGACACCACACCCCCTCGGTTCGAATCCCACCACCAATCCATGACCGCATCGGAAGGAACAACCGCTCACTCAGCTCTCCCCCGGGCCAGTTCGTGATAGGAGTTCAAGCAAAAAAGGGGGCTGACGCTCTGAGATGACAGTCTGGCGCAGATCAAGATTGTGGCGGCGGTTGGACCTGACTAAACTGAACCACGGACGGCAATCATAATTCAAGGGCGAGGAAAGAAGCTTTGGACGGAACAAACAGACTTTGGGACCGTTACCAGGACCGCGGTTTGGAACGAAGTGAAGAGGAGGGAGCCTGAGCCGAAGTTCGAACGGCTTTTTAGGGGGGCAGCGTGGGAGCCAAGGTTGCGTCTCAACTGGTGGCGGGCGAGGCGTGCGCGCCGCCGTGTTAGATCTCGGGAGTCGCAAAAGGGGATATAGCTTATTTTTAGTCCCCGCGCCCGAGGACGATTTGAATCGAGTGAGTGAGACGAAATGGCAAAGGGGAAGGGTCAGGCTGGGGACCGTGAGAGTTCGTGGCTTGCGATTTGCAACAGAGTCATCTTCTTGCTCTCATCCTCTCTCTCGTTCTCTTTTGGCGCTCTCTTGCGGGATATCAGGAGAAGGCTTGTGCACGGTCGTTCACTCAGCACGGGTCGCATTTGCTTGGTGTGATGACGTCCGGGTCCAGTGACAGATCACATTTGGTCCCCTTCTACCCCTGGTTGATCCCCGTGTCGTGTTGGGATGATCATGATAATTGGGAGGTTGAGCTTGCTGATTGTTCATGGGAGGATCTATTCGCGCATCTCGTGTCGGGAAACAAGTTTAGTTGTGATTTGAGTTCTTGATGCTCGTGAGACGCCTCGGATGAAATGTGAAATGCGAACCGCCCCCCGTCCCATGCTTCCGAGTATTTCATTTTCAAGTGAAGCAAGCCTCCCACATATTGAATGTGGCTGGGGGGGCTCGAAGTGTACCCTCCGTGGAAGAGGTATTTCATTCTCATGTTTGGACGTCTTGTTTGTGATTGCGTTTGTCACGGGGAATGGCGATAATGCCTCGGTTCTTGTTGGCCTATGCCTGTCCGGCGTCGAGCGAAGACGGGAGGCCGCAGGCCGGCAGACGGCGACGATGAGTGGTCGTTTCGTTGGTTGCCGCGCGATGGACGACGACAGATCGCAATGCCAAAATTTCGTGTATGACGAAATAAATTGGATTGGACCCCGTTTACAATAGGGATCTGCAGAAAACGGGAAAAAGTCAAAAAGACGACCCAACGAGCTTGGGCCTCTTTTCTCTTGCCTCGCTGCTCGCACATGACTCTTGCGTCGCCATCGTGAGGCCGACAATTGTAGCGGGAGACGTTGAAACTTGGTGTTTGCCTGTCGTGCCACAATTGTACGTTCTTGTTGTTTTTTCCCGCCCCTCTCTCTATCCCGCCTCACGATGTTGGCCCCCCCTTCCCGAATCCTTCGCTTCCGTTCGGATCTATTCAAACGAAACCAAGTTGAATTAGGACCGGATCCCGTGCCGCGCGCTCACATGTGGTACTTTTATGAGCAGATTTTCTCTATTGCCCGCACATGCAAGCTGCAGGAAAGGAAAGCTCTCGTCAAAATTCAGTCTCGGCAGCGGCCTACCTAAATTGAAGGGACCCAGAAAGGGGTCGGGGCAGGGGCTGTAATTCCCCATATTGCTGTCCACGTGCGGCCTTCTGAATTGGGATTCTCTAATCATGACATCGTCGCCTTCTGGAGCCCTGCAGGAGGGAGAGGAGACGGACGCGTCGCCGTTGGCCGACGAGGGGACGGACGGGGGGACCGACTCCGCGATGATCACAAGAGGGATTTTCGAAAGGGAGACGACTCGACGAGAGGGAAAAAGGCGGTCGGGCACTCTGGTTAACTTTTTGCGGATGGATTGACTTTTTTTTTTTCTCTCTCGACGGGACCGCTTTGGCTCGGTGATGAGCGTTTTGACATGGAACCGGCGCGGATGATTGATGAGTTGACAACTGGGTCATTTACAGAGAAGGAAGTGATTCCCATCTCTGGAGGAGGTCCGGGAAGCCACAAATGGAGATGCGGCGGCGTGTGAAGCCAATCAGCCGCGCAGAGACGGCCTGCAGCGAGCGCACTAAGAGGCTAACAGCACACTTTGTCAGGCCCTGCAGGACAATGGACAAGGCGGGAAGTGTCGTGATTGGCCGAGAGGCCGTGAGGGGCGGATCTCTTCCGAGAACCCCTGCTGCATTTGGTAGCTTCCTTCCCAGCAGCGAGGACGGTGAATGGCTGCTTCATCGACTGCCTTCCAAGCGGCCCCCGGAGATTCTGAAACGTCCTAAATCGTGACTGGCGACGACAAGAGGTGGGGGAGAGGCATCATCCTTGAACCGCCGGCTGCCTTTTTGGGCTTCCTCTGTCAGCGCCTACAGGCCCTGGACCCCTGGCCGCTTCTCTCGCTGTGTGTTGCAGATGCTCACTGGTTTTTTTTTTCCGCCTCTCTCTGGCTGTCCTTCACTTTTTCTGCCTTGCTATGGCGGAGCTGACAACGGTTCGCTAGGTCCAGTATTGTGGTTCTCATGTCGGGAACGCCTGTCTGCCCAGGTCCCAACGCCGCTCGCTCATATGCACAACGGCGCAAAGTTGCAACGGCGCAACAGCGGATACACCCACCCGAGGCCCATCCTCATCCATGACTCTGGATCGGGGCTTCTTTGGTGGTAACACTCGCTTCTATCGGTTTGGGGCTCAGGCTCAGAGAGTCAAGCGTCACCAAGGACGGGAGTGGGAAAAGACGGCAGCGAGCCGGCGCAGGGCTCTGACTTCCTTCGTCACCAATGGATCGGCTTGGGTATGACGATCCCGTGAGGATCTCCCTGGCTTCTTCCTTCTTCGGGCCTCAGCAGTGGACAAAATGCTACGCAACGCTACGCCAGCCGTTAGCTGACAGCAGAGAGGGGAGCTGAAGATGAGGGGAAACCCTGAACCAAGAGTTTCTATTCGGGGGTCGATCACGAAGCCCTCTCCAGCTCGAGGAAACCCGACGAGCCTGATCCACGCCTGGTTGCTGGCCGTCAAGCCCTGCGTTGAGTGAGGTGACCGACAAGCCGGACGGCACTCCCGCAGTCGCAAACCCAGTCTCAGTCCCACGAGTCGTCGTCGGCCGCACCGCCACGCGGGAGCTTCGGTTCCTCGTTTTGTTGCTCCCTCTGCTCCATGTCCGGTCCGCCTTGCCCATCGTCATATGTCGAGCACTCGTTTCGCTTTTGCCAGTTTCGTTGGAAGGTCCAACGCGCGCTGCCTGTTGCAGTCGCACCGAGTAGCGTACAGTACGCGGGAGAGTCCAAGACAACATAGCACCAACTGCCCTCAGCTAAGAGCGCAGCTTTGTCCTTTGTTACAAACGCAACGCCCCGACGCCCGTGGGTTTCTTTTAGACAGGCGAAACACGTCAATCAAGTCAAGCCAGCCAGAGACGATCCAACGCCTGACATACACTTTATCCCACGGACGCTGGCGCTGCAGCTTCGCACGAGACTTGACACGAACCCGACAGCACCAAGACACAAGACACGGCACGACTGGTTGATCTGGCACACTGGAAGCTCTGACGCCGATACCTCATGTTCACCCATCTCCCGTCTTCCGCGTTTCCCCACCATCTCTGCTGCTGGCCAAACTGCGGCACCACCCCCCTTCCCCCCACCCGTGCTCTCTCGTCTCGTCCGTTATTCCAGGTATCAAGGTCAGAGAGCCCGGACGAACAAGCCCTCTCGTCCCATCTCCTTCTTCGCTTCTATCCAATTGATCTGCAGCACCGCACTCCCTTCTATTCTGACTGTCACTGGCCTGGCATCGGATAGAGTTTGCAGGACAGCAAAAAGGGGACCACAAGGGCCGAGAACAGGCACCGCAATCGTCAGCCGGTCGTTGCATTGCTGTAAACAATATACCACAGACTGGACGAGACAGACGGACCGCGTCAACATACATCACCATCACATGCGGCCCGGCATACAAAGCCGTCTCGTCTCGGTGAACCAGTCTCCAGGCTCCTCTCTCTAGTTTCTGGGCTCCAAAAAATCTCCAGTCTTCTGGTCTTCTTCCGTCTTCAGCCCGGCCGAAGGAGCGATCCCAACGCAGACGCAGGCAACAGGGAACTGTCTCCTCCCACTCTTTCTCTTCCCACCTGCTCCAACAACCTCGACCCCGGTCTTGATGATCGCCGCCAAGACCCACCATCGGTCATTTACTTCACGCAGTTGATCGCACTTTTCGTCCTCTTTGGTCTTCCCCTTGGGTCCTGTTCACTGCGTTTTCTGCCAAATCTCGGACAAGGGCCCATTTCCTTTTCTGTTGCCGCTGGATCCCTTTAAGCTGCTGCAGCTGCAACCCTGAGCTGCAAACGAGCAGAAAAAAAAAGTAGAGTCCATCCAGAACGAGGGCAAGCTTCCGGCCGAGTCTTACCACTACTGTACTTTACCCCCGCCATCCCCGGTTTCTTCAGCTTCTTTTTTCCTTCCTCTCCCTCGACCGACCGCGCCACCGGCCTCGGTCTCGTGCTGTACGGACACGCAGAAGCTGCTTTGCTCGTCTTCCACCGCGCTGACCACCGCATTGCCGCCTGCACTCCTCGGCTTCCTTTCTGTACGACTGTCACCGGAACCGTTTACTATCATGAACGCTTCCTAGAAGGAAGACCGCCATCTCCCGTCCATGACCTACAACCAGGCTCGACGCCCACCGACGCTCCTTAACTAAACCGCCAAAAGCACCCAGAATTCTCTTCTCAAAAGTTTTGGCTTCTTTTATTCCGTCGAAGCTCCCAAATTTTCAAGATACCCATTGGTTCGATCCGTGTTAGTGGACAAAAACGACCAGAACGACTCTACGACCTTTTTTACTTCTTCTGAAGATACCAACATTTCTTCGCCAACCGTTGCATATAATGCGAGCAAAGATGCCAGCCCCTCTAGACCTCAGCAAGTCGAAGCTGTCGGTGTCTGATCCGCGGATGAACCTCCGACGGTCTGCCTCTCACACCGGCTCTTCAAAGTGGGAAAAGGTGCCTCTATCTGCCACCTCCTCCCGCTTCAGCTTCAACCACCTCCTCTTCTCCTCCCCACCACCATCACCAAGCCTACCAGCGCTTATCCCGCCCCCCCGGAAGTCACCCATCCACCCCCGACCTACTCGTGTATTCAGATTCACATTTTGGCTCGCATTCACGGTGCTGCTGCTCTACTTTGCGACTTTCCCATTTCGAACGAGCTTTGGCGTCCCCTCCATCAACCTACCATTTTCGGTCCACGATGATTTCGAGATGGTTGGACAAGACGATCTACCCGACTTTCCCACGCCAATCGTCATGTCCGACCACGGTGGCAAATCCAAGTGGACCGTTTCAATCCCTCCAAGCTACGACTTCCCGCTGTCAGTGAAGGAGTACGGGGACATGTGCAAGAAGTGCAAGGAGGTTGCCGCGCGCGTTAGGGACATGCGCCACCGAACTCAGATTCTTGATCAGAACCTCTTGAGTCAAGATGCCCCCAATGATCCGTACTTCATCGACGTTGCAGAAGCTCAAAAGACCGGTCTTCTCCCGGACGTCGCTGCCAAATGGCCAAGCAAGGGTCAAGGTCACGATGGAGACCTGGTTGGGGAGAACAAGGACTCGCTTGTTGAAAAGCCCGTGTGCGAAAGCTCCATGACCTTCATCATGGAGACTGCAGACGCCGGCATTGGGCACACCATCATGCAGCTCTGGACATTTTACGGGCTCGCTAAGAGGCAAGGTAGAGCCTTCTTCATCGACGATTCTCGCTGGGCGTACGGCAAGTACACCGATATCTTCCAAGCGCCTCCTGTGCCCCTCTGCCGCCCTCCTCCCCGCCACGAAATGATTCCCTGTCCTCCCATAGCTCGCCACTTGGTCGTCACATCCGAGACAGCGAAGGAGATGTGGGCAGGATCTATCAGCAAACCTCACTCCGACTTCCGCGCACAGGACGAGCAGGGGTTGCGGGAGCTGTTCGAGCTGGCACACGAGGGATACCGCGCTCTTTGGGACCTCAACAAGGACGACGCTCAGTACGTCAGCAAGCGTGTCAAGGAAATCAGGAACAAGACCATTGTTGGCAACGGCAACCCGAACAACGGGGTCGTTGTCGGCGTTCATGTCCGACATGGCGACTGCCACCCTACCGAGTACCAGTACCACGGCACTTACATTCCGATGGAGATCATTGCGAACGCTGCTCAGGAGGTCATTGACAGCAAGCACAACGGCACCGGTGTCGATGGGGGTGACGACGAGCTCGCCAAGCGCAAGTCCTTCATTGTCCTTGCCTCCGACGACCCGACAGTCTACGATGCGGAGGATTTCAAGGGTTCTATGCGCGCACAGGAGCAGATTCGCCTGGCGTCCAAGCAGGAAGTCCACAAGGCTACCCCCGACAGGCATGTCATGCACCACTTTGAGGATGAGGCTTTCGGCTGGGAGGGCGGCTTCTTTGCCGCCATGTTCTGGAACCTTGGCCTGTCCTCCATGAGTGCCTCCAACGCTGCGACAGCCAAGAACAAGCAACTAGCCCCCTCGGCCGAAGCGCTCCGTCTCCGGAGCTACGTTGGCCGCGCCTATTTGATGGATCTGGCCGTGCTGGCCGATGCTAGTGACACGGTCATCTGCACCGTCAGTGCCATGGGCTGCCGTCTGCTGGCCGTCATGATGGGTTGGGAGCGCGCAATGGAGCACCACAACTGGATCAATGTCGACGGCCCGTACGGGTGGACTGGCCTTACTTTCTAAGAAGACTCGACAGGAGGGCGTGTATGGCTCGCTCAGCCGAGCCATGAGGACAGCATTCAACATCTACTTCATCTGCATGGTTCCAGGTGTACGGCGTCAACAGCGAAGGCAAATGCGGTCTTTATTTTCCTTTTTCTTTACAATACTTGGACATGGTTTTTGGTTTTTAAAGGTTCCCGGGATTCATCAAAGAGATACCTCTGCAAACGTGCTTCAAGGAGCAGCGTTTCGCATGCATTAAGGCTGAGAACAGAGAAACAGCCGACGGTCGTTACTGCCACATCTAATCATATTACACGCAAAAAAAAACCAAAACAAACACAACACTATACCACGATACCGAAGCGGTCTGTGTTCCTTCGAGGCACAGCTGCATTCGAGACGATAGCTAGCTAGCAAGCAAAACAAAATAAAAGAAACAGTAAAATTATATTTGTGTGCCATTTCTCGCTGCCGTGAAAGAAACTAATGCGCAAACCCCAGAAGCGCATATGTTCTGGACCACGCGGGGAGGGGGCATGTCTGGGTTTCAGCTAAATGATTTGTTCTGTCACCATCGTACGCTGCCCGGATGCATGTTTCTACCCGTTGGTGATGTAGTGCAGCCGGCTGCTTGGTGTTGTTTCTCGCTTGGAGGCAGGTGCCCCTTTGCTGCGTAATACGGGGGATCGTCGACCTCACCCGTTTGTTTGCGACCACGTCAAGACTGAGGTTTAGATAGACTCCGGACGATTGATCTACTTTGCATTGCGCTGGTCTCGCAGATCATGCACATGGTCATATATATATCATGTCGATGATCCGCAGTTTAGGATAAACGATGTTGCATCACACATGTGGCGGTCGCCTTACAAAATACGCGGAGTGCCGGATGACATGCCGTGAGACGAGATCCATATACAACCGGCTGGAGCTGATTTCTCAGAGAAGTAAGTCACACGGAAAGGATTTTCTTCTTGCTCTTCTCTCACGTTTCCTGCGGTGTGTTTGTCGTAGGTGATGACGAGCATGCGACGTGCGTAGTCGACTGGGCCAACCTTACTCTCACGACAAACGGCAGGCAGGCAGGCAGGCAGGCACTATGAAACCTCTTGCTCTTGCCAAGTGAGCTTCCTTCCCAGCCCCGAAGCTAGTTGGCCAGCTTTCGTCCCATGGTCTTTCAACAGTTCAGCTGGGACCAAGTGGCCCAGTTGGTAAAAGCGAATAGCTAAAACAAATTCTCCTCCAGAGATGCAAACTGAGTCTGAGGGGGGCGCTCGTTCGAAACACGTCGAGGGCCATGAAAAGGGTGATTCCTTTTTTGTTTTTTTGTCTTCATTGTCGAGATCGCTTGCCGTCCGTTTGGTGCCGAGACCTTTCGGCCCTTGATACTATTCTCTGCTTCACGTGAAGTACTAGCAGAGCTTTTATCTAATAGCCCGAGGTATAATATGACCTCTGTTGACACTCTGCAGTCAACTTTTCTCGCCTCTCTCTTTTGTCGCTGGCGTTCGCCATAGTTAAGCTGGCCAGCCTGCTGAGCCTGGGAATAGCACGAGGTAAACGGAACGAAGTAAATCCACTACTAGTATCCAATTCTCTCCAAACGACAAAACAGACACGAATGGAGTGTTGCAATCCTCTACTGACGACTAGTGTGGTCTTTATAGGTCGTGTATGACTTTTGGGGGTGCCCTCCGTCGCCTGGGTGAGGCTCTCGTGAGTGCATACCTAGTCCGGCAGGTGCGCTCCAGATGGCAAGACACGATCTTTGACAAAGGTAACGATTTAGAAAGCAGCTTCACATTCAATCTTACATGAAAAGTAAGCACGGAATTGGATTGATTTCATTCAACCAGTACAGCGGGTTTAACCTAGCAGTGCTCCGAACTGAAGCTACATAAAAAGAACGAGGTATTTAGATAACAATTAACGCGACCTTGATGTCGTCAAAACTGTCAACACCGTCTGCCATACGAAAAGGCATCATGATCGTTTGGAATTCACAGTCTCTCGCTTTCGTGCGGGGAAAAGCGTTGCTGGCTGCCATCCACCCCTCTATGGCAGACCACTTTGCAACAAGTACTCTGGTCATTTTCAACGCAACTACTCCAGTCTGGAAGGCGTACACTACCGTTGTAAGGATGACCTCGCTTGTGCCGAGTCGAGTAAGCTACATGTCCTCGGAACAGCGCGATAGCCAGCAGACCTTCGTTGGGCTTTCTGTCAACAACAAACAGCCAGGCGATGTCTGTCAAAAAGGGAGAAGTCCACCAGATCTATGTAAGAGAGGAGAAAAAAAAAGTATAGACGCGAGCACATAAACGCATGTCCATCGTCGATATATCATCGTGGAACTCGAGTAACGTGAGCTTGGCGAGCTGTTGTAAGCGGGCTTGTACCCGCACCTCGTATTCGGCTCCTGTGGCCCTCGGGGTCCTTGGAGTACCAACTTACCGCAACGCAATTGCGAACACTGGAGTACTATCCGAGTTACCGCAGCCCATCCATCTTACCTAAGGAGTGTAAGATGTAGTTGATCCCTAGTATCTCGTACATTAGAAAGCGCAGTACGTAGCAGCGACAGGGGCATAATATCTCCCACGTGTTCTCGATTGAAGATAGTCAAACAACATGGTGATGGAACCTGCAATTGACATGGTAATAAAGCCGGTGAATGAGGAGTGGCTAATATCAAGTCGACAAGCTGCAACAGTTTCCCAACTTCGCAGAAACGCCCAGACGCTGCAGAGATGTCAACTAGAATGATAAGAGCCCGTTTCATGCTTCAGAGAAACGACAGGAGCTTAAGCTGCATCCTAGACTAGTGACAGATCCACGAAGAACAATCGTGATGAGTAACACGAGTTTGATCTGATGACGTTTGGTTGTGGCTGACGCAAGAACGACGATTAGCTAATCGTTGTCTCTCCAGCAAGTGTCAAGAATGGAGGGGCAACTGTCAGCCCCTCGTCCAGGATGAATATCGGACGCACGCTCTGGAAGAAGTGATGGCAACGAATGCAATGGCAGAGTTGACGTTGACAGAACCTTGCGAAGCTGAAGACATGGCAAAAGCTTGAGTCCCATCGGAAATACAGGATATGTGCGATGATGAGGCGCAGATGGAGATGGTGGTGAGGTTGGCCCTCGGATTCTTATTCGGGTTCCAGGTTGGCAATTGCGAGCATGTGAGTGGCCACAGACCACCTCAGGATTCCACCGTTGGACGCTGTATTATCCGTACCTGCCTCGAGCAGATTCGCAGATTTCCGCCAACAGGGACGAGGGTCGGCTGGGGTAGTTTCTAGCGAATCGAAGACGGAGGGCACCAGAAGCCCTTGACGACAACAGTGTTTCAAAGGTGGAAAAGGACGTCGATTGGCGACTGGATGGGGGCAATTTGAAAGTGGCTTCATCGCATTGAAAGACTTGCTTCTAGAGTTCTCGGTGTTGGCCTTCTATCGAATCATTCCCGTCTCCCACTGCTCGATTAGGCAGTGAGGGTCTCTTTATACGAATACGAACGGCCCGTCATTGGTCGGTAGCCAGTGCCAACTCATTGGCCCATCCGGCACCCTTGCTCCCGATTTTCTGGCGCAACATGCAAGCTGGAGCAACAGCCTCCAAAGCATCAAGGGGCAAGCCGCAAAGGTCTGGCAGGAAAGGTAGGCAAAAAATTCAAAAAAAATTCAAGCCATGCATCCTGTTTCCTGGCAGGTGCACTGAGCGGCTCAGGCCTTCTAGGCACTAGGGACGATCTAGGGACGGCCTAGGGACCCTGTGACAGACGCCCCCAAAATGCGTTGCGGGTGGCTACCGTGCCACTGGCCAGATGTCACAGCTTCTGGGCTCCATGGATATGCGAGATGCGCTTGACCGCCGGGAGCTTTCCCATATGGACCATGCATTGGCTCGCTCATCGCGCAGGTTGCTTGCGCAAAAATGTGGGACCCAACAAAACGCGGCAGATATCTAATCTCACTATGTGATAATTTAAAACCACCTCTGTAGCCCCCCCTTCTCGATAACCTACGCCCTCTGCTCTCTCTCGCGCCACTGCTGCTCGTGTGCTACCTCCGGTCAAGAAAGTTGCGATCGCAGCCAAACTCGACGACATCGCCAGTCCGCGTTCAATTGGCTCCTTCTTCGCTTCCCTTCACACTACCAGCGACCCCTTTTCGCGCCCTCGAGGATGGGTCTCCTGCAGGAGGTCGCAGGACCATTGTCGGACCAGTTCCAGAATCTGGGAACTGGTCTGCAGGTCACCGTCGGCTTCTTCGCCGTCATCGTCCTCTCCGTCGTCCTCAATGTCTTGTCCCAGGCCCTCTTCAAGAACGCCAACGAGCCTCCTCTGGTCTTCCACTGGTTCCCCTTCGTCGGCAGCACCATCACATATGGCATGGACCCCCCGACCTTCTTCAAGGTCAACCGTGAAAAGGTATGCGCACCCCAAAACTCCCAGTGTCGCAATAAACTTCCGGAACAAGCCTCCCGTACTGACAAGCATCACCCTGACAGTATGGTGATATCTTCACTTTCGTCCTCCTTGGCAAGAGAACCACCGTCGCCGTCGGCCCCCAGGGCAACGACTTCATTCTCAACGGCAAGCTCAAGGATGTGAACGCCGAGGAGATCTACACCGTCTTGACCACTCCTGTCTTTGGACGCGACGTCGTCTACGACTGCCCAAACGCCAAGCTCATGGAGCAGAAGAAGGTACATTGCCGCGGAAACTCTCCCGCCGGAAGCTTTGTTGCTGACAGCTCCCGCCCCTCCAGTTCATGAAGATCGCCCTGACCACCGAGGCCTTCCGCTCCTACGTCCCTATCATCGCCGACGAGGTTTCCAACTACTTCAAGCGCAACCCTGACTTCAAGGCCAACTCCGGCGTCGTCAACCTGCCTCCGAAGATGGCCGAGATTACCATTTTCACCGCTTCCCACGCGCTCCAGGGTGCCGAGATCCGCAACAAGTTCGACGAGACCCTCGCTGCTCTGTACCACGACCTCGACATGGGCTTCACCCCCATCAACTTCACCCTGCACTGGGCGCCTCTCCCCTGGAACAAGAAGCGCGATCACGCCCAGCGCACCGTTGCTCAGATCTACATGGACACCATCAAGGACCGCCGCGACAACGGCCGCACTGACGGTCTTGACATCATGTCCCACCTTATGAACTCCACCTACAAGAACGGCACCAAGGTCCCCGATCACGAGATCGCCCACATGATGATCGCTCTCCTCATGGCCGGCCAGCACTCTTCGTCTTCCACCAGCTCCTGGATCATGCTCCGTCTCGCCCAGTACCCCCAGATCATGGAGGAGCTCTACCAGGAGCAAGTCCGCGTTCTCGGCGCGGATCTGCCTCCCCTGAAGTACGAGGACCTCGCAAAGCTGCCCCTCAACCAGGCCATCATCAAGGAGACCCTCCGCCTGCACGCTCCTATCCACTCCATCATGCGCGCCGTTAAGTCTCCCATGCCCGTCCCCGGTACCAAATTTGTTATCCCCACCAGCCACACCCTTCTCGCCGCCCCCGGAGTCTCTGGAACCGATCCCGCCTACTTCCCCAACCCTGAGGTCTGGGACCCACACCGCTGGGAGGCCGACTCTCCCAACGCCCCGAAGATTGGCGGCAAGGATGCCGAGGACGAGGAGAAGGTCGATTACGGTTACGGTCTCGTAAGCAAGGGTGCCGCGTCGCCCTACCTGCCCTTCGGCGCCGGCCGTCACCGTTGCATCGGCGAGCAGTTTGCCAACGTGCAGCTGCAGACCATTACCGCCATGATCGTCAGAGAATTCAAGTTCCGCAACGCCGACGGCAGCGACAAGCTCATCGGCACAGACTATGCCTCTCTCTTCTCACGGCCTCTGGAGCCTGCCAACATTTACTGGGAGAAGCGTGAGGCGTAAGTTTTGGTGGGAGCGGGATTTGGTCAGATTTTGGGTTTTGGGGAATGTATATTGTAAGCCATTATGACTATATCACATGGCCGGAGACAAGAAAAAGACATAGACATGAGAGCGCTACGGCGCAGATGGCAGACTAAAGATGGTCGCTGTCGAATAATATTAATACAAAAGACGTTAAGACATCACGACCAACATCCATCAATCCCACCAAAGAAAGAAAAAAATTGCCGATCCCCGTGGCGCAAACCGTAACCGCGCTGATGAATTTGACGTATATTGTCAATCAGAAGTTTAAGCTCACAGGCCGTACTGTGTCCCCGTGCAGGCGCATGTCAAGGGTGCGGGGCCCGGCCGGATGGCGATGTTGAAGACTTCCCCATGCTGGGACTTGTTCGGTCGGTCGGCACAGCGTTTTGTTTCAAAGTCAGTGCGGTAACTGGGGTGGTCTGGACGACGTCTCAGACCGGGACATCCCCCCTTCTCAACCTTCGCCTCATCCCAATCCTACACCTTAGGCTCACTCATACCCAGAGCCGTCACTCACGCAATCGCCTTACGAACAGCCGCGTACAACTGGCGTGGGGGTTTTTGAGTTTATCCCTTGACGTCGCATCCAACGTCAATTGCATCCCGAACCGTCCGTCGTCACTCAATATATATCGAGGTTACCGCGTGAAAGATAAACAGCCCAAAGGTTCGTCCTGCGACGGCAAATTCGTGCGGTCGCATTACTCGTCAAAGAATCCGGGATCTACGCCCAACGCCGACAGTCGGAATGAGCGCGGAGGACGAGAACCTGGGGCCCCTGGTCCGGCTATGGGGCCTCCGGACGGAGCAGCTCCCGGCGCCGAGCGCAACTACCGCCGACTTGGCGCCGTTCCTCATCGCCGTCCTGCAGGAAGCCGTCCCTTTTATCGATGCCGTCGCGCCCAAGGATGGTACTGCACGGCCAAGTGAGTGGAAGGCGAAGGGCACCAAGTCCTACCCTGAATCGACGGCGCAGGTTGAGCTGTACGAGCGCGTTATCCCCGCCGCAGAGCTCGAAAAGGAGGCGGCGAGGAACAGTCTGTCTAATGGCGTGGATGCTCCTGAGACGTGGGCTTGTCGGAGGAGTATTCACAAGGACAGGCCCTCGAAGGGGACTGCTGCTTGGGAGGAGTTTGTAAAGTGCTTCAAGGACGACCATGTTGAGGCCGAGAAGGCGTTTACTCCGAATGTCATGGAGGCGAGAGAGGCGCTGGCCTGGGATTGTGCCGGGGTCGCTGTTGAAGAGGGCGGCTCGACGTGGGACGACTTCAGGGTCGGCGTATTTGAGATCAAACACAAACTCGGGATGCCGCTGAAGAACCGCGTATTTCCCGAGTTGATCATTACGGCAAAGGCTAGGGAAGCCGACGAGTTCATCGTCGTGTCTATCCCCATGGCAGATCTCGACAAGGCGGACTACGGCGGACTGGTGAAGGAGAAGGGGATCGTCATGGCAGCCTATGTGAGCGTCGAGAGAGTGAGGAAGACGCCAACGGGCGCAATCGAATGGATCATGGCAACGGCATCGGACGCAAAGGGGGTCTTGCCTGCTTGGATACAGGCCAGAGCTGTCCTTGGCGTGGTTGCCAAAGACGTGGCGCTCTTTCTGGGATGGATCGCTGAGGAGCGCGAAAAGGGAACGAGCGTGGGCAAGTGGACTGCCGTCAAGGGGAACAGAACCGATCCCAACCGCAGAGCATCGACTGCTCTTGAGGATGGCGAGTCCTCCTCGCAGGGAAGGAACTCAAGACAGGGGGTGTCGTCGAGACACGGGAAGGAACCGGCTGCTAGTCTGAACGGGACGAGGGCAGGGACGAATGGGCAAGCACACGTTTGAACGGCGCGTTCTGGGATAATGGACGGAAATAATGGAAGGCGACTAACTACCCTACCCTAATTTGCAACTTATGGAATTCGCTCAATCGCATTGTTTCGTTGCCGGGCCACGTCGAAGATGCATACTTTGATCGGTACTCAGCCGTCCACTTCTTGTGCCTTTGGACACCTTGAACAGGAGGTGAGTACAACATGACAGTTCAGATAGGCCAAGAAGTTGCGTGTCAACAGAATTGCTGAAGAGGGGCTTCCTTCCTCGTCACCGCAACCGAGGAAAGTGCGAAGGGGAGACTCCTGCCGCCGGAGACTAAAGGCGAGGGCCTTCTTTCCCAAAACAAGGTACTTATATGAGGTAAAAGGCAGTCCTTGGCCTGCACCGGCGCTTGCCTTGGAGCCCGTCACCTGCCCTAGTACGCGACTGCCTTCCTTCCGTCGTTAAACTTCCCCTCTCCCATTATCAGAGCCCTTCGTTTGATTCCCAACGCCGATCGACGCACAGTGTCGGCCGTATCCCTTCCCACGTCTTTTTTACTGCTGAATAGGCTTCTTCTCACATTCGTTTCCGATTTCTATTTTCCAATCTAGCCACGTTCCCCTAATCTTTGGTATCCAGAAGCTGCTGTCTTGTATTCCCGTCGCGAACCCGAGATTCGTTCAACAATTCAACCAGAATGAGCGTGACCTATCCCGCCAGATCAATGGCAACCGATCAAATGACGTCCACTTCCACGCCGGTAAAAGCAGTCCCTTCCAATCTTTCGTTGATCTGGCCAGAAGAGGGTCCGTGAAATCATGGTAACCATTATGCGCAGGCTCCTGGCAATCTTCCGATCGTACCAGACACGCTGCTGTACTACAATCTCTATGATCAGCTCTGGAAGCAGCGCCAGAAGCAAGAGGACTTTGAGAAACGGCTCGACACCAGCGAGAAGGAGAAGGAGGACTTTCGGACCACTTTTCAAGCAGAACTCAACGCCTTAGAAAAGCAGCTCAAAGGTCAGACATCGGCGTTCATGAAGAAGCTACGCCAGTCAGAGGAGCGATTGGAAGCAAGGCTAGACGCAATGCAGCGCCAACTTGATACACAAAAGACCACACAAAACGCAAATGCCGAAACAGTGCAACACGACATCCGTAATCTTCAAAGGAACCTAGATCTGAGATCAGGCCAACAGACTGCGCCAGCACCAGCGTTGCCTGTAATTCGCGACCTCAAACGACCTATCACGACAGGTAAGTCGACAAGGAATCAGGTTTCGCAGGTGAGCTGACCGCTGTAAGATGAGGCAGTAGCAGTGAAGCGAAGAAAAGAGGATGGACTTTCGCCAGTGGTCGACTTAGATACGCGCGGGCACCCACAGTCTAGCTCCCCGAAGCCGACGCAAACTCGATCGAAAACCAGGCCAAAGCAGTCAGCCTCCGGCAACAGTCGCGAGAAGGCGTCCAAGACTCGAATGGAAGAGTTTCGCCAGCACCAGAAGGATGCTCATGAAGCATATCTGCAGCTGAAATCCACAAACTTCAATGCAGTGCGAGCATTCGTGTACAAGTTCATCGAGAATATTTCCGACTTCGAAATTTCTCAGAAGTTCCAACTGGAACTGCTCACAGTGCTGCCGGATTATCTAAGAGAGGGAAAGAAAAGCAAATATGGTTGGCGACATGTTGTTGCTGTGGGAGGTACTTTGAAATGGGAGGATGTCTCGCGAGTCGCCAGTTCCATTGATGTTGGCGAGGACTAGAACTGAAGGATGGGGAGAGAAGTTTTTCGCTAGGTGCTGGGTGATCAAAGGGCTTTGGGCCTATGGGTATTTGCTTGGCGAGAATGAGGCGCATTGGGAGACCTGACATAAATTATGTTCCGTAGCAGAGTTCCCGATTCGATCATTATTCTAGGTATGAATAGAGTCTCTTCAGTCATAGAATGGAAAATGGTGATAATGTCTCCTAGACGAGGAACGTCTGTGCGCCCCCTACCTTGTCAGTGGAGTTTGGCGCGAATGGTGTGTTTGTCACGCTAAAACTTACCACGCGTGTCCTGCAAGGCTGTGGCACTAGATACCCCAGATACCTCGCCCAGGTACCTTTCCCGCGCTGCAACAGTCCATTGAATCTGGAAGTCCAGGGACGGTGCGCCACACCTCCAAGCCAACAGGAAGGACCGGACCCAGAGAACTTTCCGCGACGACTCCGGGTTTTCCATTCCAAACAACCTCCACGGTCGACAAATCCCATCGTTAGCAAGTCTTTTGTCGCGGCACTCTGCTTCATACGCTACCTACCATCTCCGAATGCGATCCGCCTAGTCACGAGGGAGGCTCCGACCGGCGCCTGCCACCCCTGGCGCGAAAGCTTCACCCATCGCCACATCTCGTGAATCCCGCAGCGCATCCGAAATCGATATATCTTAGCCTTTCCCTACTACACCTTCCTCAATATGCCTGACATAAGCGCTCCGCCGCCGCCGCCGCGACCCAAGTTGAAGCTCAAGGCATCATTCAGCGAACCAAACGGGGCGCCCGCGACGCCGTCAGTGTCGACTCCTCTCTCGACAACGAAGATCAAGCTCAAACCCTCACAACCGCCAACGCCCGCCAGCACCGACACACCGAAACCTGTGAAGACGAAGGCAGGACGTCAACCGAAGCCAACGAGCAAGCTCATCGAATCGAAGAAGCGCGAACAAGACGAGATCGACGACGATGGCTTAAGCCGGTCGGCGAAGAAGATTAAGCTCCTCAAAACGCCTACCGTGGCGACTCCAGGCAACCGTCACATTGTGGTTAAGGCCAAAGGCAAACCACCAGTTCATCCCCCCGGCGATGGCTACGATTCGGAGGCTAGCGACCAAGAGAAGGACCCCGTCATCGAGGAACAGTTCATCTTGCGTATGATGCCCGGCGAACACTGCGAATATGTCAGGAAATGTATAGAGGAAGGAAAGGTCGGTGTGGCACGAAAAGACGGCGGCGCGGATATTGCCATCAAGTTTATCGACGACGAAAGCCGACGCGCTTTGGTTATCGTCAAAGGCCAGCATTACGCGGCAGTTATGGTGGAGTTGCCAACCATCACAGAGGGCATGAAGTCTTGGGACAGGAAAACCTTTATGAAGTCGGCCGACATTTGCCACATGCTTCTTGTCTTTCAACAAGTCAAGAGTGAGGATGAGGCGAGGAAGGTACCATTACCGCCGATGATCCAACCCGGGTTCAAATGGCCTCACGGTCTGACACCGCCCATGCACGACGCTGCCAATCAGAGATTTGCAAAGGTCATTAGTCGGTCGGAGATCGAACTGAAGGAAAATGAGGTTAAGAAGCTTTTAGCGGCTGACGCGGCTGCTGTATCCTCCAAGTACGAACTCATCGATGAGAACAAACCCACGTACGAGGAGTACTCCGAAGACGAACAAGATGCCGATGGCGAGGCAGACGATAGTGGTTACTTCCCGGCCGAGGGTTACGCTAACGGCGAACTGTTTGACGATGACCTTGAAGCTGAGCTGGAGGCTGCCTTTGAGGAGGAGATGAATCAACCAACAACCGAAGTTGGAACGCCGGCAACACAGTTTGAGGCAGCTACGCCGATGACGATGAACACCGGTACGCCAGCGGCCAACGCGCAAGACAGTGGCGATGGAGAGGAATCCGCTGTGAGCGAAGAAGATGAGGACGACGACGACGACGACGATGAAGATGACGACGACAGAGCCCGTCTGGATGAAGTCAAGGCCGTCCGTGAAGATATTACACAACTCAAGAATGAAATCAGCAAGAAGGAGGCTGAGATGGCTACAATAAGCAACAAGATCTTGCGTGGCCGCGTGGAGTCTCGCCTCAAGGACCTTAAGGCAGAGCTTCATCTCAAGATGACCTCTATAGGAGAAGAGGAAGAGGATGAGGACTAGTTGGTGCCATTGAAGCACTGGGAATAGCGTGGGGCATTCTTCAAAATGGTTTGACCTCTGTCGTGGGTCACATACACACACATTTCTACAGCTATGTATGCCTAGAGCAGAATCATAGGCACATAAGCATAATATTGAAAGCCAAGGTGCTTTGCAACGTCCTTTCTCCTCTAGTTGCGTCATTGAAGTGATGATATAAGAGCCGGCGACGCCGACAGTAGATATTTTACAAGAGCCAAACCACCTTTTTTCATGCTCTCTATGGTACATGACCCAAGCCCGCGACCGCCGCAATCCCGTGAATGCCCACACCTATACCACAGACCATGTTTACATAGACTTGAGGTAGTTAGTCTCCTTAATCTTGGCCTTGCGCTCCTTGCGCATCGCCTTGCGCAGGTCTTCTCTCTTCTCCAGGGCTTGCAGGTTGTGCGTAACGTCCTTGCCCTTTTCTCCGGGCAAGTTGATGGACTGCTGCGGCATGGGGATCTTGGGAGCGAGAGCCTCCGTATCACCGGAGGCGAGGAGCTTGGCTTCGATGGCCTTTTGGCGCTTGGCAGCAAGCTTACGTTGCTTCTTGGATTTGGCTGGTGGGCGCATGGGCATGTTAGCAAAGGAACTAGATCACAAGAGCCGTTTCCTAGGTCTGATCGGCGGGCACACATACAGAACATCTCGGCGGCGAGATCATCCGCAGACTCTGTGGTCTCCTTCTTGGTCTCGAGGCATGTCCACAACCAGTCGGGGTACTCCTCATCAGGCAGGGCAACGGGATCCGTCTTGCCCTTTGTGTAGTTCAGGCCGTTGAGGATGGTGCCGGCGGGGCAGGAGGACACTGGCTTCGCGGGCGTCTTGACGGTGTCGTCTTTGATGTTGGACAGCTTCGGGGGGGCCTCCGGGTTGGCGGGGGGTGCTGGCGCAGCATCGGGAGCGGCAGAGGTGCCAGCGGCGGCGTTTCTTGTCCGCGCTGAGAGGGAGAAAGGTCTGACGAGGAGGGCGCCGGCGCTGGGCTGGAGACGGGGCAGAGCCGTGGCTCGCCGCATACATGTTCTGCAAATCATGCTGGTTCTCTGCTGTGTGCACGCGACGGGACGGGAACGGCGCGCTTGGTGCTGGTCGTCGACGGAGGAGGGGTCCTGGTCGTGGTGTTGCGAGATGCGTGAGCTTGAGCTTGGGGTTGCGGTGGAAAAATTCTGGGGCGGGCCGGACGGGCCTGTTGCGCACCCGGCGTCGGAGGCCCACGTCAAGTGAGGTGCACCGAAGCTACAGACATGCTGCAATACACTCCTCAAGGTTTTTGAGGGCCCATTGAACAATCGATTGAGTGCGTTTTCAAGTTTTGAACCATTTCTCGAGTAGTAACAACTGATTCAGACATTTTCGCCTGTAAATCGATATCCGTGTCGGATAAGTGCATAACTTCAAAAAGCCTTGATTGATTCGTTTGTACATGTAGCGCGAGGGATATCTCCATCACGCGGCCAATTGCCATGACTTTGAAATGGCCCAGATTCTCCGTTTCCCTTCCAGTTGTCAACGGGAACCTCTATCAAAGCGACGCCGTATTCCGCATCGGAACGCTCATAAACCATCACGCCCAGACATAGTTCATTCATGCCTGCTTGGTGATGTAGTTCTGCTGCTGGAACAGTGTGCCCTTAACCTTCTTCTCCTTCAACAGCTCAAGGTACTTTTCTGTATTCATGCGTCAGCAGTTCGACCTCCTGAACGGATTGGCTCTGCCTGTTGCTGTCCAACAAGCCCTCGCGCCGGATGAGACTAACCCCTCAGGTGACCGCACTTCTCCAAGTGGTTGACACCCTCCTTCTTGTAGCACTTGCCCAACTCCTCGCCGACGAGACGCAACATCATGGCGCCGACCCATTGCTCGCGGATGATGGCGTCCTGTGCCTGCTTGAACGCCTTGGTGTCGTCGTAGTCGACGCCGTCGAACGTCGGCGGGACCTTGGGCTTCTGGGCCAGGAACATCTCGGACTCGGGGGTCGGCATCTTGACTGGTGGTGGGATCGAGTCGTCTCGGGTGGAACGGGGTCGAATTGGTCAATGGGGCACCGGAGGTCGAGGGGTGCGTCGCGGCGAGACGTTGAGCTTTGGTGGTGATCGATTTCGGGACTGGGTTGGTTGGCTGGCATGGGCTGCACCAGGACTGGAGGAGCAAGCTAAAGGTCAGCAGAATGCAGCGGCCTTAATTCGCAGGCTACAGGCCCGAAGCCTCCCCCAGGCACACGACTCGGCTACGGCTTTCGGTACGTACCCACCGCTCATGCAGCCCCTCGCTCACCGCCCGCGCCAGTCGCGGGCGCCCCGCTGAAAAGTTGGCAAATCGCAAAAAAAAAATCTCTGTCGCAGGACCCTTCGCCCCAACCACCGGACCCTGGCCTTATAAGTCAAGCTACCACCTCGAGACACCTCTGAAATCTTCCTCGAGCATCCTCCCATCTCTGGAAAAAAGGCTTTCTCCTGCTCTTTTCCATCCTTCTATCCTTACTTCCCTCTCTCTATACTCTTAATCCTTTATACCCACATACATCACAATGGGCAAGACCAAGTCTACCACCAAGGGCAGCAAGGCCGCTGACCCTCTCACCAAGGTGAAGAACGCCAGCGTCTCTAAGGCTTCTGAGAGCCCCAAGGCCAAGTCCAAGGCTATCGCCAAGGACCTTGCCACCAAGGAGAAGAAGAAGGCCAAGAAGGTCGTCGAGCCTGAGTCTGAGTCTGAGTCTTCCGACAGCAGCGAGTCCGAGGAGGAGGAGGAGTCCGACTCCAGCGACTCTTCCGACTCTGAGGAGGAGAAGCCTGCCGCCAAGAAGGCCGCTCCCAAGGCCGCCGCCAAGAAGGCTGCCGAGTCCTCCGACAGCGAGTCTGAGGCTTCCGACTCTGACTCCGACTCCTCCGAGTCTGAGGAGGAGGCCCCCAAGCCCAAGGCCAAGGCCAACGGTGTCGCTAAGACCAACGGCGCCGCCAAGAAGGACGAGTCTTCCGACAGCGACTCCAGCGAGGAGGACTCTGACGACTCCGAGGACGAGAAGACCGAGAAGAAGGCTGAGAAGAAGGCCGAGGTAAGCACCAACTTCGCCTGCTGTGTCAACATCCACTAATAGCTCCCGGCAGTCTTCCGACTCCGACTCCGACTCTGACTCTTCCGACTCCGATGAGGAGGAGGACTCCTCCGACTCTAAGGAAGCCTCGGAGACTGAGACCAAGACCGAGGAGCCCTCCAAGAAGCGCAAGGCCCTGGATGACCCCGTCATCCCCGGCAAGAAGGCCCGCACCGACATCTCCGACAAGAGCTCTACCCTCTTCGTTGGCTCCCTTGCCTGGGCTGTCGATGACAACACCCTCTACGAGGCCTTCCAGGAGTTCCCCGACCTGACCGGTGCCCGCGTCGTCACCGACAAGCAGACTGGCCGCAGCCGTGGCTTCGGCTACGTCGACTTCGGCAACCCTGAGGCCGCTGCCGCCGCTCTCGAGGCCTCCCAAGGAAAGGACCTCGCTGGCCGCGCCATGAACATCGACTTCTCTGGCCAGAAGCCCGCCGGCGACGGCAACCACCAGGCTCGTGCCCAGGACCGCGCTCAGAAGCACGGTGACACCGTTAGCCCCGAGTCCGAGACTCTGTTCGTCGGTAACCTGCCTTTCGACACTGACCAGGACACTGTCCACGCTTTCTTCAGCGAGGTTGCCGAGGTTGCCAGCGTTCGCCTGCCTACCGACCCGTAAGTCACACCACATCATGGTGTTCAAAGATCCTCAAGACTAACAACGTCAACAGTGACAGCGGCAACCTGAAGGGTTTCGGCTACGTTTCTTTCAACAGCATTGAGGACGCCAAGTCTGCCTTCTCTCAGCTCAACGGCCAGTACCTCGGTGAGGGCCGCAGCGGCCGTGCCGTCCGTCTGGACTTTGCTGGCCAGAAGCCTAACCGTGACGGCGGTGGTGGCCGTGGTGGTGGCCGCGGTGGCTTCGGAGGCCGTGGTGGCGGTCGTGGTGGTGGCCGTGGCAACTTCGGTGGACGTGGTGGTGGTCGCGGCGGTGGCCGTGGTGGATTCTCCTCCACCAACCGTGGTGGCTTTGGTGACTTCAAGGGCTCCAAGATCACCTTCTAAATGGTGACGCAAGCCGCACGATGATGATGATACTTCAGAGGGCATATATCGCGGGTACACACTGTGGGCTTCGTGGGCTGTCGGTTCGAGACAAGTTTCTTCCCCGCGGGGATTGTGGGCTTTGAGAGCAGTCTCCTTGGAGACATGATGGACCTGAGGGCATTTCACTTTGACCGTGGGCTTGTGGCGTCTCTTGTACATCACAGAGGCATATTATGGGATCTGTACGCTATTGTGGGTTGACCAAGAGGGCACATGTTGCATAAGCAACATCTTCACAGTGGGCAGATGGCTTATTATCCAAAAGTTGGGAAGAATCTTGTGTGTCTGTATACTCAGACATGTCCGCGAGGGGATCAACTTTGACGATGACGACGGCTTCTGTGGGCTCTGGGGGTTGCTCTCGGCAGTCTACCTATGGGTATTCTGTTGATGTGGCTGGTCAGGCGTTTTCTCTCCTTCGGTTACTCTTGAACTTGGAACGATACCATGCTTTGCGACGCAGAATGGAGTAAGTATACCTTCTCCCCGTGAATGTCATTATTCGGCAGGGCAAAATATTGGCCATGAGGACTTCGGCGTTTTGGGATCGGCTCCTAGTGTAATACAAAAGTTTTGATGTTTGTCCATGAACACGTTCTTGCAGTTCCATTCCGTGCTTTTGGTGATGATGTTATTGTGAAGACTACACGTATCTAGTGAGGTTGGCGTGGCTGGCAGTAACTAACATTTCATGCAGTTTATGGATGGCTGTCTCACAGCAGGGAAGTGCCCGACTTCGCTCCCATTCGCCAGCAACCTCGTGGCTCAGCTTCCCGCGCAACGGTGCGTCATTGGGCGGCACGAGGTATGGTTCCAGCCACCCCCGTGATG